GTACAGAAGGGGGGGGGTAGATAATGTCCGACAATGAGCAATAGCTACATAATACATAACTAACGTTAATAACATAATACATATCTTTTTGTACAACAAACTGGATATCATCTCCTATCAACAAATCACCAATATCCCCAAGAAATTCACTGTAGTGAAAAAATATCTAAAAGAAAATTATAGTATAAAAATTCAGTAGACTTTTTGCGCGAATTTCACTAAGATATACAGAAATATTTTCTTTGTTTCAATGTGAAGATTTCTCGATTTATCTGAGTAAAATGCGAGACTTCACAAAGAGGAAAAGGCAAGTCTTTAATTTTCACCTTGATCAAGCGAAAGGTTTAAGCCCGGGAGCATTATTACATGTTTGTGCGTACGTAGATTTAGCGTAGTAATAATTGGCCAAGTTTTTACAAACAAATTTTACGAATGTTACATGTTTGTGCTTACGTAGATGTAGCGTCGTAATAATTGGCCAAGTTTTTACAAACAAATTTTACGAATGTTACATGTTTGTGCTTACGTAGATGTAGTGTCGTAATAATTGGCCAAGTTTTTACAAATAAACTTTACGAATGTTACATGTTTGTGCGTATGTAGATGTAGTGTCGTAATAATTGGCCAAGTTTTTACAAATAAACTTTACGAATGTTACATGTTTGTACATACGTAGATGTAGCGTCGTAATAATTGGCCAAGTTTTTACAAATAAACTTTACGAATGTTACATGTTTGTGCGTACGTAGATGTAACGTCGTAATAATTGGCCAAGTTTTAACAAACAAACTTTACGAATGTTACATGTTTGTGCTTACGTAGATGTAGTGTCGTAATAATTGGCCAAGTTTTTACAAATAAACTTTACGAATGTTACATGTTTGTGCATACGTAGATGTAACGTCGTAATAATTGGCCAAGTTTTTACAAACAAACTTTACGAATGTTACATGTTTGTGCATACGTAGATGTAACGTCGTAATAATTGGCCAAGTTTTAACAAACAAACTTTACGAATGTTACATGTTTGTGCTTACGTAGATGTAGCGTCGTAATAATTGGCCAAGTTTTTACAAACTTTACGAATGTTACATGTTTGTGCATACGTAGATGTAGCGTCGTAATAATTGGCCAAGTTTTTACAAAATAGAATGTTTCTAAGTAGTAAGAAAACATCATAGAATGTTTCTACTTAGTAAGAAAGCATTATAGAATGTTTCTATTTAGTAAGAAAAGGTTGTAAAATGATTCTAATTAGTAAGAAAACATTAACAGCAAAATGAAATGAAAATAAAATTTTTCATAAACAAAAAGCAGTAGGAATTACCTTCTACGAGTCTGTTGCCATGTTTGATTCACCAAAAATTAAATTCTATTTGTTACAAAGGATGCCAGCAGTTTGAATGATAACTTTTTGCAAAATAATATATATGGTATATGTATAAAAATTCTCCTCTCAATTTTCCTAATTCACCAAATAATATAATCCATTTGCCGCACAAAAACAGGAGGCACAAATCTGCTGTGAATATTTAAGATTGTTCAGTGTAAGCTATGACTTGCCAATATGAAAGTTTCCTTAACGTGGGCTGTGCGAGATGATATGAATTTGGCGGCTTTCTCTATAGAATTTGAGTTGGTGTTTTCTCATCTTTTTCTTCTTTGCAGACATTTATTCCTAGCAAATAACCAGAAGAAAGTATTTTAACACCTTTCTTCAAATATATCATTTGCTCATCATCTAATAACATGGGACATTCACTTACATGTTTTGACTTATCAATAGTGCTGTAGAATATTTATCATCAAGAGCAGCATTCAACAATCAATAGCACAACATCTATATATATACTTTGTAAGAAAGGAGAAGTGCAGTGTCGCGATTGCAACAGAAAATGTGCCACAGTTTATACCTATTACAACAGACTATCTGTTGCACAACATATACATTTGTTTATTTATATATTTTCTTATCCAAATGATTCGAACTTTTCTTGAATTGAAAGCACATTAATGCGACTTGAATGTTGCCAATTGTTAAGCAGTATAAATAAATGCTATTGTCTGCTGGTGCTCTTGATTCTTCCTTCAAGTTAATGAATATTCTATTGTTCTACTGTTAAGTAAAATAGCATAATTGAATGTTCAATCTTATTTAATGATGAGCGAATGGTGTAGGAGTAACAAGAGAAAAATCCCACAAAATACTTTACAATAGTGAATTGTACGGAATGAAGACACTGCACTGGATTCCTTGTGATAAAGACTTTAATATTTATATACAGCAACATAGCTATTGTAATTATACAAAAGATCAATCTACACTAAGACTGGAACACATAAGGACTAAGTTTCGACATCAAATCAATTTTCACAAGACACTACTCGTCGAGTAGTCTGCCGAAATGCATAGTGTCTCTTTCTAACTGTAAATAACGGTTCCTTTGAATTGTTTGGTTAGTGATCTGGTAAAAACAGTTCTTTTAAGAACTATTACATTGTTATTATCACCATTCACCATTTTGAAATCCATCTTTAAGTTTGTCACCACGACAAAGTCTCTGTTTCATTAAATAAAACCATTGTTCTCACGATATAACTTACTTTGAGTGCGAGCACTGTAGTGAAGTATAATGCAAACAAAAAACAGGTGCCTTTAACGGATATTAGCCTCAAGTAAACCAATAAACTTATTCTAAACTTGAATTTTTTTTAGATTTATTAAGAGAATAAGATTTACATGCGATATACTGCTTGTCTGTACACAACTATTTAGTGAAAATTGTGAATTTCTGCAAAAAGGTAAAAGCAATCAATATAATAATATGTATTTATTAAATGTTGTATCAATGTTGGTCTATATCTTATTATAACAGGGTGCTGTTAAAGCAGTTGTACCAAGTACAATCAAAGGAAATTGAAAAAGAAAATGAGATATAAATAAGATAAATTGTAATATCCAATAAAATGTGATAAGCAAATATAATAATAACACAATTAACACAATTAACTTTGTTTTTCAATAAACTACATTAATTTGCCTTTAAATTGGAAATTTTTGAAAACATTTGTTACTCTTTTTTGAGTAGACAAAATTTTTCTGCTTAAAATAGGGCATGTTTGTTTAACATGCCCTTTTTTTTTGCAATATCGACACATCATTCCTGAAAAATATTAATGTTTCAGATTGTTATATTAACAACAAGAGTCTATACTACAAAAATGTGAACCTACTTGCTCTGCACTCAGTTATGTGGTGCCGAAAAAGACAACACTTCTGACATCTGCCTATGGAAATTGAAAAAATTGTAATTCTTACAACAAAGTATTTAACAAATTATGATATTATGTACCATACCATGAAATTTGTTTCTTCTATCTGTAATGTAACAAAGGTAATACAATGTTAAAATATTATTAATCAAGTAGGGTCATAAAAAATTTTTATATTTCAAAATATTTTAAAAATATTCTGTATAAAAAGATTAATGTCATACTTTGGGATGGACCACCACCAGTCCCCACCACACTTTTAATGCTTTTTTCTTCATGTGCTGCAATTGGAAAATATTGTCTATTAAAATATAAGTTATTACAACAAAGTCTTTAATTAATTGCAATATATTACATCATACCATTAAATTTGTTTCTTCTATCTGTAAAATAATAAAGTATTACAATAATATAAATCAAGTAGGGTTAAAAATATTCTGTAGAAAACGATTAAAGTCATACTTTGGGATGGACCACCACCAGTCCCCACCACACTTGTAGTGACTTCTTCTTCATATGCTGCAATTGGAAAATATTATCTATTGCAGACTTCAAATGTATTTGAATGTTTTCACTGTAAAACCTAACATTTCAAAAATATAATAAGTATTTTACAGTTTGCAGTACAGAATAGGGTTGTCATTCTTATTTCTTTGTTGTTTATTTATTTTTCATTAGTAGAGATACCATAGGATGACCACATGACTTTTTCTGTTTGTGGTCTCTTTTGTTGATTTGTAGTTTATATTTCATTAAAAACTGTTTATATTTCATTTCCAATTTCAATATGATTGTACTGGCACTACTGGAAGTTTTTTTAGTGGTATGAGAATTGGTAGAGATACCATAGGATGACCACATGATTTTTTCTTTTTGTGGTCTCTTTTGATGGTCTGTAGCATCCTCCACTTCTGCAAGTATATTAAGTGTAAGAACAACAAATAGTTAAACTGAAAAATATAACTCACAAAACATACCCATTACACTTTCGTTTTTCTTTCCTTCTGCCACTATACAAAGAGATTAAGTAATTTCTTTGTATAAGTTTATGTTTAACATTAGTATTTGAACATATGATTCATAAACAAAACAGTAGCATGAATGCTTACTTCTCTTTTATTTTAACTGTGTTTGCGAGACTAAAAAACAAGCAACACCGATGTTGAACATAAAAATAAGTTGCCGAAAAAAACGCGCTTTTTGTGTTAAATATAATACAGTACCGATATATTTCGACTAAATATGTGAATTACAGAAAAGCATTGTAAAAGCGAGAATGACAAGGATAAAAAAGGCAATAGTAAAAGAATCGACTTACCAAAACAAAGACTTGTCAAATTTCAAAAACGACTCTTTAAATTTTCCCGCCTCCAAGACCAAGAGTAATTTAAAGTGCGTGGTCTCCACGCGTGTATATCTCGAGAATGCAAAAACATATGCCAGCATAAAAAATAAAACTCAAATTAATTTTTAGCAAAATAACCTTTCAATATTAGAGAATATTGATTAACTTACTTGGTAACGGTAAATAACTTTAAAGATGCATTATCGCAGTTACTTTTGCATTCTATATGCTAAGACGCTAAGACGCTTCGTGTACGAAAGACGTATGGAATTATTATGTCTTGTAACAGGCATATGGGACCTAGAAAGCACAAATGTGCCCAGTAACACCCATATAACACTATAGGCTTTTTTCAAATTCAACCCCCCTCACTTACAATAGATTTTCCAATACATACTTCATTCACAGGAATATTGAGTTGTGTTTCTATATAACTAGCAGCATCTAGTAAACCTTTAGCCCCTTCATCACTGTAGTCTACATTCTGTCAAATTGTGCAAAAACAAAAAGCTTTAAGGACACATTTTAAATTTAGATACTACTATTGTATGATACATACCACAGCATTTTTGAATATAGTTGGCCCCGCATTCGGTTTTAACACAACTCTATTCCCGACTGTTTCCTTCATATGGTCAGAAAAATGTTCTGAACAAATCCGACTCCATTTCTTTGGGGCAAACTCATTCATAGTTCGAAAGTTTTGCTTAATGCTAGACACCCACATCTCCAAAAGATGTGGGTGTTTTGCTGCATCTGAACAGCTACAGGGGCGGATCCAGCTTCTGGGCTGACCGTGGCCCTGTGACGTAGCGAGCGCCTTCGGCGCGAGCCAACGCTAGGGGGGTCTGGGGGCATGCTCCCCTATAAAATTTTGAAATCTAGACTCTCAGAAAAGCGAATTCCGGCATTTTTAATGTAGAATATAACAATATTTTAGTTATAATCTCATCTAAAAAAAATTATTCCCCATCTTTGTTGCCCCATCAAATGGTCTTTTTCGAAAAGCAGCGAGGATGCCTTTTGTAACAGCCATAAAGATGGCAAGACTAAAAAAAGCAATGTTCAAAGGTGGTCTTCTTCCAACAACAGCAAAGATGTTTATCCAACAATCGTAAAGATTGCAAGATTAATAAAAGCAATGTTCAAAGGTGATCTTCTTCCAACAGCGACAAAGATGTTTATCCAACAATGGTAAAGATGGCAAGATTAATAAAAGCAATGTTCAAAGGTGATCTTCTTCCAGCAGCGACAAAGATGTTTATCCAACAATGGTAAAGATTGCAAGATTAATAAAAACAATGTTCAAAGGTGGTCTTCTAAAAACAAAGTAACCAAATGATTTTTGGTGGATGGGATTTTTTGATCTACCACATAAGAAGGTGGCATCGCAGCACAACGAAAGATATGGACATAGTTAATTGCACTCCCATCAACAAAATCTCTTGGATATATTGTACAATTGAACATTTTAGCCAACGAATCCCAATTTTCTTTCACTTCAGCATCATTAGTAATTGGGTAGTATGACTGAATAGCACACTGGATTACTGTGGACAAAGCAAACATACACATCAAGGGTGAAAAGGTGTAATTATTCGCTCTTTCCACTGCTTCTTGTAAAACTGCCGCAATTTCATTCGCATTTTCTAAAGAGGTTAGAGCTGCATCGGAGCAAAGGCATTTTTAAGTGAAGTGAACGCACCATTTTTAAGTGAAGTGAACACACATGGCAAAGGCATTTTTAAGTGAAGTGAACGCACCATTTTTATGCTGGGACTTGATGACAGGATGGGTAGAATAGTATTTTGCATTCTCAAACATTTCAACACTAGTTAGGAATCTCAAGTAAATAGAGATAGTCTCATTCCCAACTAATGCAATATAACATGCATTGAACAGACAATTCCCATTGGCTAAAGTACTAAAAGAAAAATTAGTATTTAAGTATCAATGGCTGCTTTGTTATACCAAGTTATACCTGGAAACAAATCTGCTAGACTGACTCTGACATTAGAATAAATAAGGGTAACCAATACTGTTAAAGATAGACTAATAATATTGAAATTGAGAAAGTTATTTTCTCTTTGTGTTAATTTGGTAACATCATTATAAAGTCAAAGTCACAGGCAGGTAGTCTAAGATTTGGAACTAGTCTAGGCATGTCGAACAGGATTCAGACGACTTATTCATTCCATCTATTCTATATAAATCGCGAAAGAAAGTAACAGTTATTCAAAATGATATGTTAGTTTCTTTAATCAGGGGATAACATAAAATGCCAGGAATACAAGGATAATACATTATTGATTAGGTTAAATTTTAAAAAGGACCAGCTTTGACTAATATTGAAGTAAAACTTTTTTTTTTAACAGACAGTAACAATTAAAATTATTTAGGCCGTACATTAGACAGACTGAGTATGCAAAATAATGACAGCTTTAGACATATATTTTACATGATACACTAAATATGAATAGCTGAAAATTAACGGATTGATCATATATTTAAGGCCAAGATGTCAAACGTAAATAAAAATATAAATTAATACCCCAATACATGTAAATTCTTACCTAACAGGGACATCATTGGGTCCTGATCTTTCAATTTGGCTTTCAGGGAACAGCAGTTTTGAAAATGAACAAGTTCGTAGCATAATATCGCCAGTAGAATTTGTACGACGAAGCCTTTCCTCGTTGATTATTTTACCACAGTGTTGTCTCAAGTTAGACAATTCACCTGAAATAATTTCGCAAGCGTTCTCATGCTGAAAGGTTTGGACGAGCTTTTCAAGAACATCGATCTTTTTAGAAGTTTCCATTGATCCTAATCGCTGAGTAGAACTAGAAGTAACGTTTTTTCAAGTCGACAAGAATCGAGCTATAACATATGACTTGTATTTATTGCACAATCAAAATACATTCACCGTGGCTCACCGTGGCGCACATGACCAAAACGTTCCCTGTGATTGGCTTGCAACGCTGCACCGTGGCTAAAGGTTACTATATTTAGCAACTATTGCGAAATTTTTTGAACGCTGACCGTGGCATTTCATTCTGAGATTGCAGGTTCGAATTTACGAACATATTCCGAGCATATTCATGGCGTATTCGGCAAGATTCGAGACGCTTTCGGTGATTTTACAGTTCAGAGTTTAACTGGATGATAATACTATTTTAACAAGACGTTTAATTTGAAGTTTTTGTTCTGTTAACACAAATTTTTGACAAAAAATTACAATATTCATTCAATTTTTTTGCTTTTGATAGAATTTTGCTGTATTTGAGCAAAATTTTTAATCATGAAAAAGTCAACCCTGGAAAAACTTAAGTGGCAGAATTCTGACCGTGGCTCAAGCCCCTTTCGCCATGGCCTAGATCCGCCCCTGAGCTATAATGAGCAGAAAGTTTGAGATAAATACAATTTAAATTAAATATTATGCTTTAAAAAAATTAAAAAAAACTACAAACGAAATGGTATCACGCCATCAAGCGACAAAATTACAAAAACGAAGTGCTTTTTTTTGAGAAATAATGAACAATATTTTATTGCATACCGGTGCCATGAAAAGTTTTTTTTCTTGCACTATTTTTGCATCCATGTACAACACAAGATTGCGGCATTTTTTGCAATAAAAGTATTCAAATAAGACTTCGCAACAAATGTTTTGATATTTATTGTAATGTCTATATACACGAAATCGTGGTGGTCAAATCCGGAGGGGCGAAAAAGTTTTCATTTCATAAGCCCGCGTCTCTCCGCTGACTTTGACCACCAAAATCCGCCATGGTTTTGACCACGCGTCCGCGCGCTAACAATTTATAGTAATTTTGTTGACGTTTCCCCTCCAGGTCTTATAGACTCAATGGTCACTATAGCCTGATGCAACCCAGCCTCTTCCTTAAATTAACTCTATACGCTAATAGTGAAAATACCCTCAAACGTCCATTCAAACAACAGGCCTGGTGACTTGCCTGCCTGGTCGCAACCACGCAACCATTGAGCTCTATAAAACCTGGAGGGGCAATGGTGCCTGGACCCAGTGAACTCCATATATATATATATATCTGGAATGATAACGACAATACATTTGATAGATATAAAATTGAAGCCAAAGTCCTAGTCTCTTGCGCGGTTTGTACGTCAGTTCCATTCCTTCAAAGTCGAATATTCACGCGGTTTGTACGTCAGTTTCATTCCCCTGAGTGCCAAACATACACGGCCAATATAAATTTGAATACAAATTGCAAAAGCATAAACATATAAACAACATCACGACAAACAACACACGAGGCCAACTCTTCGCAAAAGGTTATTTTTTACAGCTGAAACTTTACTACAGTGAGCTCGTTGTAACTTACAACTTGTAACGAGGAAAAGCCAACTGAAAATTACACTTTATGCTAAAAAGACAATACAATAGAAAATATGACGAGAAAATATTCAAGCATAAATTTTTCTCTCGTAGGAAGGTAAATTTTCAAACGGTGTCAGACAGTGTTTGTCTATTTTTGTCATTTCAGTGGATTTAAAGATCTGTTTTTCCGAAGAAAAAAAAAACTTGAATATCCGGTTTCATAAAAAATATTGAGTCTATAACTCGCATTTTTACTTTTTACAGAGCGATTGTATTTTTCATCGATTTTGATAGTGCTTGAAATACTAAATGGTTATCATCTCGATATCAATAATTGAATATTCGTAAAGACTTTGCATGTTTGTAAATGTAGATCGTCCAGGTTAGTATAGTTCTGAGAAGGACTGTTTTTGTTGTTGTTGATTGACGTTTCGACAACAACAAAAACAGTCCTTCTCAGGACTATACCAACCTGGACGATCTACATTTACAAACATGTAACGATACTCCCGGGTTCAAACCATTTGCCTTAAAGACTTTGATATGTTTTAAAGGAAAACCGCAGTGTAAGAGCAGATCGACTAAGTTCACCTCACCTTGGTTATCGATTTATCACTTTGATTCACTTTCCGTGAACCTTTTCATTCCAAAAATTTCGTTATTTTTACGCTCTGATCAAGATCCGAACTCTACCATTACCAAGGGACAAATGATTAAAAAAAATTTAAATGAACACCCGAAAGACTAGAGCCTGACGTGTAATGACGAATGATGACGACAAATATTTCTTTGGCTTCAATTTTTGGCTCCGGTTATCATTCCAGCTATTCAAATGTCGAGTTCACTGCCTGGACCCCGTGGTCAAAAACGGCGGTAATGGCGGATTTCGGTTGTCAAAACTTCCACTTTGAGAAAAATTTTTAACATTTGCTCCCTCCCGAATCCGGAACTCTACTACTGCTTATATCAATGACAACCAGCAAAAACAACCACGATACCGTAAGCATAAAATATTAAAAATAATGCTTCAGGTTTTTGTGAAATAGACACACACATTTAAATGAGGTAAATCTACTGTAAAATAACGTATATTTTGTCAAGTAATGCTTTAGCTATGTTAGAAATAAATATCAAACGGCATTCTTTACACTGTCAATGTGTCTTTAAGCTTTAATTCATAATCCCATGCGCAATACTTGTGTTTTTGACTATTTTTTAACAGCTTCGTGCAACTGTCTTTCTTGAATAGATGGGTAAATCTTAGTTAAAATGTCCAAAAAGGAGTTAGAAAAAGTTAGCTTACCCCTACGACTTAAGTCGACTGGAAATATAAGTAGGTATGTATTTTTTTTTGAGTTTTTTTTTGGTAGGATTGATTCTGGGTGTCTTATAAGGTGTTATAATATTCTGATAAATCTACTGAGAACTTATGAAGAAAATATCTTGAACTAGGAGAGCAAAAGAGCGAAATTCAGAAATTCTATAATCATGTTGCTGGTTCTGTTTTGAGCCAAGATATTAGTAACTGGATTGTCATTGACAACCATGGATCTACTACTGAACAGAACTACATTAATTTCCCATTGAAAATACGATTTCTTAAATTAAAGTGCATTGGTTTCTCTGACATAACACTTTTCTTATTGCTGCATGAAGGCAAACCTGTTTAAATAATTATAATGTAGGTGAAGATATTTAGCATGTTGTATAATTGTTATTATACAGACATTATTTATAATATTATGGCCTTGTGTAATGTATGTCAAGAACTTATTAATTCTCAAAAATGCTAACCTTCTTGCACTACTTTTCTCTTGTGTCCTTACAAATTACAGTTACCTATACTAATTTTTTCTAGGTTCAAACAACTTGACAAATTTTTGAATTTTACATTATGCCTTTGAATTTTTCTTTTTGTCTTTTGGTAAAAATATCAGTAAATGACTTAAAAATCAAGTTTATCTAAAACAGTATTTTGTACAAAGTAAGTTCTTCCAGCAGTTCTTTTGGGTGCTCCAGATCGATTTCGAGAATATAGCCCTTCTCTGCACTACAGGCTGGTTCAGGGCTGCCTTCACATCCTCGTGAGCGACCCACTCGAACGCGCCTGTCGGCAGCGGCTGCAACATCTCCCAGCCGTACAGGTTGTTGGCGTCGTAGTACTGGATCCAGCTTTGGGGCTTCCCCGGATCGTAGTCTGGCACCTCGGGGTTGCTGGCCTTGGCGAAGCGCCTGCTGGCCATGCTGATGCCGCCGCGCAGGCCCTTCTCGATGAAGAGATGCATATCGATGTCGGTGAGCAGCTCGAGCTCAACCCCTGTGTGCTTGAGAAGAGCGTCCCAGCTTAGGCCCGGTCTCGTGTAATAGTGGGCCGGGTCTGGCCGGTATTGCTCGAGGCACATCTTTCGGAAGTTCTCGAAGACGTCGTTGAGGAGGAGGACGTCGGTCCGAAGGTAGAGATCGTGGTAGTCGCCGAGAGTGGAGCAGCCGAAAGCGTCCCAGACACTTTTTCCGTGGGTGTGATCGCCGTCGGTGATGCCTTCGCCAGAGAGCTTGCTGTAGAAAGCCTCCTTCTGCGGGAGGGCCTCCTCGTCAAATCGGGGCCAGCCGTCCATATACTCGTAGGGGTAGATCCCCTTGCGGAGCAAGAGGGTACGCTTCCAGGAAATGCTTGGCTGCGTCCAGCCCTCGGGAGAGCTGCGGCGGCTGCGTTTTCCCGTCAGAACGGACGACTATGTACGAGTAGCCGCATGCCTCGTGCCTGGAGGTTTGCTGGGTGACGCTCTTTTCAGGGTTAAGCGCGGGGCCCTCGATTTTGCAGATCAGACTCTCGAAGTCGGAGTAGATTATGAACGGCGCTTTGAGCTGCTTGTGGTAGTTCTCAAAGCGGATTTTGTCGTTTTTTCCGGGGGTTAGCATTCTGATGGCAACCGCGGCCTGGTTGATGCCTCGACATTCAGGCTTATGCTCTTCCAGCAAATCCTGCCTGGTGAAGCCGTGAAAGCAACGCTCACAGAAGTTCAGCTGATGGTGGGCGCTCTGGTTGAGACGGCGGTCGAAGGTCTTGATCCATGTGTAGTGGTATTTCTCAGGATCATTCGGATCCAAGACGAGGAAGAGATTCACAGTCTTGCGGCTCTCTCTACTTTGCTGAGACGGCAAGGAACGACGCCGCCTTCCCAACCATACACGTTGATAGCAAGGTCGTTCTGACGCTCTACTCGTTCGAGTTTGGAGAGCGGTGTGGGTGCGCTCACTCCCGCAAAGTCAAGGCCGTCTTTAGTGGGATACTTTCCCGGCCGTTGCGGGTGTTTAGCTGCGGGAAACAGCGCAGCCCTTAGAGACCAGTGGAGGCAGTCGTCCTCTTTGTTTTTCACGTTGATGATTGCCTTCTTATTCTTGACTGCGGTGGGGAGAGGAAGGTATGAGCCTCCGCGTAAAGGCTGGTAGTGAGCGATGTCAAGCCAGAGTGTTTTGACACGACCCACTATCCACCCAGACCCTTCCCGAGTGAACTTTTTCAATCTCTCCAGGATTGTTAGGAAAGCTTCATGTAGGGCTTGCGGAATCTCATGCACCTGTAGCAGCGAGAGATGCTTTGTCCTCAACATTGGTGCTTGAAGCACTTCAGTGCCATTTGCTTCATCTTTCCGAAGCTCAACCTCTACAGCCAACTGGAACTTAACTCCTCGTAGAGCTAGTAGCTCCTCGATGAGTTTGCGTTTGATGTAGGGCTGGGTGCTTTTGAGGAAAGCCATCAAATCGCGTTGGGAGGGGTGTCCCTTCGGCACCTGCATTTTCCAGGCTCTCAGTTGATAGCTGAAAACCTTCGTTTCATTCCACTTAAGTTCCGTGGGTGGTGGGGGAGGAGCCCTTGTGGGGCGTCGTGGTTTGGGGATAGGCCTGCGCTTGCGCAGTTTTGGGATAGGGCTGCGCTTTCGCGTTTTGTGCACAAATTCAAAATGAATAGATTTCCGCTTTCTTTACCATAATCTACTAACAAATAACTATAATGCCTCCTTCTTAACTAATCAAACCTTAGTGACTTTTTCGACTTGTTGAAACCAAACTTGTCTATTATTTCGTACAAAATATTATTACGTCAAAGTTAGATTTGCATTCGTCAACGATTATACACAATTGACAAATCCTAGACTCATGAAACAACTGTTTACAAAGCATATGAGTGGCTGGAAGCTACAAGAAGTCGCCTTTACATCTTTACACTCTACAGTAACTGCATCGCCGAAGTCTTTCTAATATTTAAGTCTCTACCTTCAATTTTTACGGGTTGAAGTCAAATTAGTTTTTTGTTCGTCTGTTGGACGGCAGTTTTTTTGTCCACATTTTCAGTGAAGCATTAATTCAAGTCCTCTTTATGTTCATCTCCACGTGGGCATTCTTTACACAACCATCGTTGACAAACTTTGCGAAAACGCGTCTTGCACTCTATCGATAAATTCGTGATGTATCGGCCACTACAAGGTAATCTTCTTGGGTATTTCAAACGGTTTTTATCGTGTATCGTGTTTATGACTTACAGCAGCCACGCTTCTTGCATTCACAGCGAATAATTTGTGTTTATCGCTTATGGAAAATCGAAGAAATAAGGAAACCAATTCATGATAGGTACGTACTGACAGTAACTTTATTGATAGAGATCTTTCTTTAATGAATATTTCAACCGTGTACTGATTGTCCCATGTGCGCAATGCACTCCCGTGAGGGTAACGAAATTGTATTAAACTTAAATCATAATGAATGAATGAATAAACAAACATGTTAAACAATTCGTCTGCTCTATTGACAACTTTTCTTCCTTCGTAAGGTCAAATGCACGTGGAACTAGGGGCTGTACATATGAACTCGGCTATCCAGGATTCAGTGAGGCGTTAAATGAATTCGACGCATTGAAATGGGGCAAAATTTCAAGCTTAAAAATTACAACTGTTTGTTAAGCGCCACCAGTAATTTCTGTTGAAATTCTCAAATTAGGGTAAATTGGTTGTTTTAATTTTAAATATTTTGCGTAGTTGTTAAATTGCTTGAGATGATTAATCAGAAGATAAAAGTTGAATCGTTTCCACTTACCAAAATCATTTAACGCCTCACTGAATCCAGGTTAGCTGGGCTCATGCGACCAGCCCCTTTATGTGGGATTATAGTTTTCTGCGAATAGCCTGGAATTAAGCACTATTTCAGCGACATCATGTCTGTTTAACCTTGATATAATGACAATACCATACACTATAGCAAACATGCTCCTCAAGGAAATGTTGAAGTGAATTACCATAACAACAATTGAAGTTCTTATTTTTGAATATAATTTCTTATATCGTAGACGAACATATTTCATTCATTTCATGTAACATACACATAAACATTTCATGATTTACTAGCCTCAATTCCCCCCCCCCCGTCATTCGACGAAGACAAAGTTTGTAATAATAGTTGAATGTGATTAGTCGGGGGGGGGGGAGGGAAGGGGACTAAACAACTACCTAACACTAATAATTCTACGACTAACATATCCATGAAGTACTTAAGGTATCAATTATCCCAAACAGTACGTTACTTCATGTAACTGTAATTATTTCGTCTCGTAATATATCACAAGAATAACTATTGTCAAAATGATCAAAAATAACAACAATAAACAACATTTCTTTTTTCGCGCTTTTCTCTATAAAAATATGAAATAAAACGAAATTTTTTACAGCAAAGCCAAAGCAAACGAAGCACTTTGCTGCCAGAACTAACCCTATACACGCTTGCTTTACGTAGTTCGTCCTTCGCATTTATTACGTCATCATGTGCAGTGATGACGTTGCCCTCAATGGAATCTGAAAGTAACAATATTTAGTCAATTAACGAATAGTTCCACAACTGTTGCAATTGATCTCTATGATAATTTTATGAAATAAATGAATACGAGAAAGATTATCCGTGTTCTAGGTAAAGCGAAATGGATCTACAATGGTTTCATAGGGAGGGGAGGCTGGGTGCTGTAGTTTGGAGGCCACTTGTTCCCGTAGCATGTTACACTTGCTTGTTAAATTGCGTTGCCTTGTTATTATGATTGGAAAATTTTCAGAGGTATTCTCCATCAAACACTAAAGCCTAGTTCACATATAGTAGTAATTGCTGTAATTCTATCGGCGATGCAACTACAACACTTGCCGACATAAGTAATTTATATGGAAACGCTCATCGGCGATGCAACTACAACACTCGCCAACATAAGTAATTTATATGGAAACGCTCATCGGCAATGGCAATTTATCTTTTTTCTCGATTTCTTACGCAGTTGTGGCAAGCATTCTTTGATACACCATCAAAATCCTTTTACCTAACCTCTTCATTGAGAAAGCTTCTCACACAAACCTAACGCAAGCGTATTTTATGAAATATCAATAGCAAATATCGGCGATGAGAAGCCGCATGCGATTCTAGCACTAGTATGCATGTATCTTCTGATTTACAAAAATTACAGCCTTATGGAAACGTGGTGTTGTAATTTAGTCGGTTGGTGTCGCCAATGAAAGTACAACAATTAAAACTAAATGGGAACTAAATTGCCTAATTGTTTGTACCTCTACAATGCCGTATATAAATAATAGTATGTTGTAGGGAGATCGGAGCCCCTCCTACACCCCTCGAGCCAAAGCTAGGAGGGGTACACTCACCTACAACTTCACCCTGCTCGTGAACGATGGATGCTAGATCTCGGAATATCTCATTGACGTCAAGAATGTCAGACTTTGTCGAGATTAAAAAAGACAAGAAAAATTAATAGTTAGCCATTTTATTTCATTACTGCCCCCCCCGGCTTGCACGCTTCATTTTACCGCCATGGAAAACGTCATTACAACACCTTTCATGTCCCTTGCACACCTTATTACTCCCCTCGAAAAACGTCATTACTACACCCTATCTAGGATAACGTCATTACAACACCTTATTTCACCTTCATGAAAAACTTTATTATTACATATTCCCATGCCCCCCTCATTTCACCCCTCCCTCCACTCTGTGGTAAACACCATACCTCTAGCTGTCTCACTAATCTCTCTCGTTCTTCGATCAGCGATACGGAATCATCCAACTGCTGTTGGTCACTGAAGAAAAGAAAAAACTCCATAAGAGACGAGGAAGGAATCTCCCTCAAACAGCGGACTACAATGGTCTTATAGACACATCCCTCGAGAGTTTCCCATCAGACGTTCTGTTCACACTGCACAGTGTTTGAAACGTTCCTACATGATTGAGACTTAGTCTTTTTCCTTCTAGTTTATTCAGAACTAAAAAAGGTTGCAAAAAAACGCCGCAGCAACTGTACAGTAAAACAGTTCCTTGCAGTCAACAACATACCCTAAGACATCGTCTGATAATAGCGTCGTCTTGTCGCCTTTTGCCTTTTCGTTGTTTTTATGTGACGTGAACTTGACCTGACGTGAAAAAAAATCCATTAGTCAGCACAATCTACGAAACGTACACGTCACAGCTGTTGACAATTTCACGCAAAGGCGGTTACCAAGCTGTGGACCTCGCAACTATCAACTGTTCGACTTCATAGTTTTGGAAACCACTAACTGCATTTAACTGCACAAATTTCTGAGTAAATTTCTTGACCTTGTAAAATTATTGCTAAGTTCTCCATAATATTAATCCTAACACGGTTAAATATGCACATGAAAAACATGCGACTTGGACGAGATTCGAACTCGCACCTTCGGGATACCAGTCCGCCGCTCTACCTGTTGAGCTACCAAGCCCACAGGGATTGGAGACGAGTCAAATCTCTTTTAAACTGCGTATGGACGAGAGATTCCCGCCACGATAGCAGTTTACTGGATGGCACCGTGTTTCGACTTTATTCCAAAGTCATCATCAGTGATTATACATAGTAAAAATCCTTACACGGTTTTTTTTATATGTACATGAAAAACATGTGACTTGGACGAGATTTGAACTCTACCTGTTGAGCTACTAAGTTCTCCTATATATCAATAGTTATATCACTATGTACCCCCTGATCCCCTGATATTCCCCCTAATTATAAAGAGGTGTAAGCACAACAATGATTGTTACCGTGCTTGTGGAGTTATTGAACAGTTGTTTACTTTTTTCTTTAAGTTTCTAAAGCATTCAAAATGACAGCGATTACAAACAAGAAGTGGTAATTGAGAAAGAAAGTTTGAAATCGTGCAAACCTTTTGGATATTTGTATACTTTGAAATGGAGTCTTCAAATTCATCTTTTAACCTTTCTTGTTGCAGCTTTTGTTTTCTCTGAAACAAATTAAACAACGGATTTGTATGAAAACTACTGAAAACATAAAAATTTTTTCATGAAGTTATGTTAACACAACAAAAATTCAACATATTCATCCTTTCTGTAAGCAAACAATTCAACCTATAGAAACATTATGTTACACCCCCCTGGAAACCAACATGGATTCTCACACCTATCTCCACCCCCCCTTTATATAAGTCCCCAAACATCCCTTATACCAGCAGGATACTCAATCATTTTATGTACACACTAATACATGAAAAATCTTCACATACTCTTTCTGTTACACTGCCTCCTTGTAAATTGATCATTCGTTTAAGACAAACTGTTGTATCAGAGGCAATCTTGTTAGTTCCTTGTTGAATATCATGTCTGTAATAGTCAACATATTAAAATAATTGGAAATAAAATGTCCTGAATTTCATCTCGATGATAAAATGATTAAATGTTGCATAAATGAAAGTCATAAAATACACTGTTCAGGGAGCTTGCACGGAGATTTCATGCAGTATTTTATCAACATTTTCAATTATTTTACAGACAAGACCCAAGCAAAGCCAGAAATCTCAGCTCTCAAGGAAATATTTACAAAGAGAAGGTGTATGCCATATGGTATTCACATCTCTAACCCAAAGTCATGAATCATGGTGTTCACATAAAAAAATTCAATAAAATTAACAAATGCATGAAATCAGGCGTTGCGCAATTCAAAAAAATTTGCAATCCCAAGTATTCTATGTTTTAATACTGATGCTATCATAAACAAATTTCACAAAAGCTTGGAATGGTGGGTAAACTCCTATTGAGAACTGCCACAAATAACATTTTTACACTCACAATTTATCGTATGGAACCTCTGTTAAAGTTGATCCAAGCTGTTTACAGATTTTCTCCAATGCTTGCACTGAAATAAAATATAATACCTTTACCATGAAGTACGCATCAAGAAAACCAGATTCCAGTCAAACACGACATAAATTTTACCATTTGAATTGATTTGAAATAAATTGCTACTGACGGTGTCGCTCAGAGATTGGAATATCACATAATCTAAAAAAATTGAAATAAAGGAGAAGTATGTTTATGGTCAAGACAAGTAAAGGATTACAGAGACAACAAAACATCATGTCAAATTAATCCATTTTAAAAAATCAACACATTATGACTGTCCCAATGCGGAGATCAATTTTGACCAAGGCAAACTGTCTACTTCAATATGACTAAAATCCTCCACTACCGTACCATCAGACTGATATCCTCCAGCAAACTGTCTATCATCCATACCACCACCAGTACCCCCTATGATACTTCCATATCCCCGATCGAATTCTGCAGACATTTTCAACTTTCAAGTCAATTCTAAATGAGAAGGATAACTTCAACGTCGGTTATGTAGCACAAGACTGAAAATCCAAGCAAATTCTTGTAAGATTTGCATCTATTTATTACAAAGAAAGCATGGGCACAACAAAATAAATAACTTTTAAAACATGCATTGCACATAAAATTCGACAAGCGCGCGAGAGCAATTTTGAAGCACACTCTAGTTTAAAATCCTAACATTCGCCAATTTTCGGTAGGATATCAATGTTTAACAAACACAACATGCATTTCACTGTGAAGATTGACAACGAAGCATTTTACATGCAAACTTACGTTCATTATACAAAACTCATCATTCTATCACACAAAATGCAATGCAATTTCAGAGCAAGTCACGGACGAATAATCTTCAAACGAAATGCGACAACATTTGCAATGTAATGAGAAACGTTTCAATTCCGGTTTATATCAGTGCCACTTGATGCTCGCCAACGACAATCTTTATGCTTGTTTGAGTTGTTTCTCAAATCTACTGAAATCAGTTATATTTTCTGAGAAAAATTTACATTTTCTTTGTCATTTCAACACCACCCGTCGACAACGTTTGAAAAGATAGGTACGCGGGCGGGTTGCTGATGCAAGAAAAAGGCGAAAACATATTTATGTCTAGGATCTGAAAAAGTATCAAAACGAAATAGGTTCAAAATATTCTTCTCAACAATTATCACACGAAGTTAATTCACTCGCGACAGCCTGAAATAGTATGTGGAGTTTGCATTCCCGAACAAACATCCTTGTCAAAAAAACAAAAACAACCCCCCCTCCATGAATGTCGATAATCATTAGTGTTAGAAGAGAGTGAAAGCAACACAGCAAGAAAATCCTTAATTTGAACCCACTATCTTTTATTACAACCATTACAACATAGCTGTAATAATTTACAAACATGTGTCCAGTTAAAATTCATACTGGGAAATTCTTTCATATTGAAAACCGTAGCCAATCCAATTCAAATTTGACTATTTTAGCATGAAAAACCGTTGGAAAAATTTTCCACAAATCCCTCCCCCCAACCACAACAAATTCTCGAAAAACATCCCGTTATTTACATTTATAAAAATAAATATTTCAATTTGATTTTAGCTTCGCCCCGGTATAAAATAGCCTTCGTTTGAATTGACTTGACTTGAGCATTATCGCCATAATGATTACGCTCTACTATTATATATATACAAATAACATGGTCTTAAATAATATAAATTGAACTAAATATAACTGGACTGCTACTTCCCGCCAAAATTTGAAGCCAACAATTTAACTAGTCCCAATCTTTTCCCGCACGGCCAAGAAAGTTCATAACAATAAGTTCTAAAATGCGGGACTTGACCTCCATACACGCGTGTTTGGAGGTAAGAATTGGCTTCATGCAAGGAGCAGGTTTGCTCATAGTCTAAAGATAGCCGTCCAGTTATATGTTTATTTCAATGATAATACTGTAATTACTACTGAATCTCAACATCGAAAGATGCTTCGCACTCAAGACAAAATCTCGAAGCAATGAAAACCATTTTGAAGTGATTTCATTAAACGTTTTCGATTTTCAAAGCCACAAATCTGACGACTGACGACGCAAGGAATTTCACAACTATTGACAACACAGACTAGATAATAATTCTTATTGCAACCAAACAAAATCTCACATATAAACGGTGTGTAGTACAGGAAAAGTTGACCTGAAAAGTAAATTCACATTTGCTTCGAGAACCGTTATACCTAAATTGAACCCACTGTAGCTTTCCTTTCCTTGCATCGAAGGTAGAAATAAAAAATTACTTATTCACCTACACTTGACTTCTCATGGTGTTCACAAACAGTAAGAATTATAAAGACGACACGTGACATGACGTCAGGTGACACGTGACATGACGTCAGGTGACACGTGCATCTTGTTGTTCTAACTATAATAAAACTACGTTAAACACTTTGTGACGGTTTAAGATGTCTCTTATCTGCTATTTATTTTATTCTGTTTACAATACCGTTGCATGAGATTAAGCATCTCGCCCCAATCCTCTGTATACTACTCCTTTTCTTTAAAACAGATTCATCTTTTTGCCGAACTCTTCAGTGTAACAATTCATCACAAAATCCTTCATTACTTCGTTTAATTAGCTACTTGATTATCATGAAGCGTCGTTGCTCTTCTTCATTTCAAATTCTTGTCCAACTCTATTTCCTAGGCAACAGCAATCGCTAACCTCAGGGTCATTCATGGATAAAACGGGATCAATATAGATCATACACATATATCTCTAATAACCATAATATTCCTCTACCGTTTTCGTCGCACTGCTTTCTTGAAGACTCTATTGGAAGGAGTGGTTTGCCCGGCGCCCATGCTAAACAATGCAGGCTTATCACACGCAGCGGGTGTGGGATTTTGTGCGGGTTTAATGCCATTCCCGCCAAAACTGAAACTCAACGGAGTAGAAGTTTGATCTAAAATATATAACAACAAAAATACATAATAAAACGAAGAACGAAGACAGTGGCAATAAACAAGAAAGGGAAGTTTAGTTGAACTAACTTGTAGAACCGCTGACCGACGTAGACGAGCTGCCGAACATGAAGGGAGTTGTGTTTGAGCTAGGCGCTGATGCACCAAAGTTAAAACCTCCTGACATTGAACTAGATGAAGATCCAAACTGAAATGTGGAACTCGCCCCAGTATTGGCAGAAAAGTTGAACCCCCCGGATTGGGCGGAAGGAGCTGTAGAGCTGTTGCCAAGGGCTCCAAATACACCCCCCGGAGTTTGGCCTAAAACAGGTAAGTTTGAAATGAGTTCAATGTGAACAGTTAGTGTTACTATTGGTGATTTTTACCTGTATTTGAAACAGCCGAGGAAAAATTGAAGCCTCCCGGGTTTTGAATGAACGTTGATTGACCGTGATTGCTATTCGAGTCCGCGTCCATCTCTTCGCCACCCATTGAGTTGGAATTCTCAACAGCAAGCTGAGTGGGTAAGACGGGTGGCTAGAAAATTAATTATGTTTTACGAGCTTTGATAGAGATATCTAGTATAAATAAAGTTAGTTTAGTTTAGGTTTCCTTCTGTAGTAACACTGGATCAATAAGAGATCATCTTTACTGTATCCTTAGAAAGAACAGTTTAGAACTGATAGAGATATCTAATATAAATAAAGTTAGTTTAGTTTAGGTTTCCTTCTGTAGTAACACTGGATCAATAAGAGATGATCTTTACTGTATCTTTATGAAGAACAGTTTAGAACTGATAGAGATATCTAGTATAAATAAAGTTAGTTTAGTTTAGGTTTCCTTCTGTAGTAACACTGGATCAATAAGAGATGATCTTTACTGAATCTTTAGGAAGAACAGTTTAGAACTGATAGACATATCTAGTATAAATAAAGTTAGTTATAGTTTAGGTTTCCTTCTGTAGTAACACTGGATCAATAAGAGATGATCTTTACTGAATCTTTAGAAAGAACAGTTTAGAACTGATAGAGATATCTAGTATAAATAAACACGATCTCAGAGATAAGCCACAACTACAAAAGTCAGTACAATTGACAATAGTAATAATTACCTGTGAGCCAGTGAAAGAAAACAGACCGGATGTCGTAGCAGCGGTCGGTGTAGAACTTACTCCATTACTTGATGTAGGCCCGTTCACTGCACCAAAATTAAAAGCTGGAGTTGCTTTGGTAGTCTGTGTAGCCGCTGAGCCAAGGAACGAAAACGTCGAAGGATTGGTTTGCGTTAACGGTGCTGTTTTATTCGAAGTTGAAGCGGCGATATCAAAAGATGGGACAGCGGATGCTACAGTAGCCTTAGGCTGAGATAAGGAACCGGTGAAAGAAAAAGGCGTATTCTTAGGGGTGGACGAGGGATTTAACGGGCTGACTTGGGGTATCGTTGAACCCGTGGCATTAAGGAACGTTGTAATGGGTGTAACAACTGATACTGTACTCAAAGTTGCCGTGGAGGTAGTAGATGGCGCAACTCCAAATTTAAAAAGACCGCCTGAAATGAATGAAAGGGGACACGTGAGGACATAAGAGTACATAAAAATTGTAGATATATTAGGATAATAAATAAAATGACCTGGGGTCTTGGTTTCTACAGAGTTCTTGTTCAGCAAAGAGAAAGGCGAGACACCAGCGTTCAAAGAAACGGCTTGATTTTGATTGGTAACCTTAGAACCAGCGGTTTGCTCCAAATCACTTTTCGATGAGGACGGTGCGTTTGCAGACGTGGTGAAGGCAAATGTTGAGCCAGCATTGGTAACCTTAGAACCAGCGGTTTGCTCCAAACCAGTTTTCAATGAAGACGGTGTGTTTGCAGAGGTGGGGAATGCAAATGTTGAGCCAGCATTGGTTTGTCTTATGTCTTTATTGACTGGTTCACTTGTTTCGATTTCTTTTCCCGGAACTTTCAATAGACCAACTGCAGCAGCTTGCGCTATGTTCATTGTTGCTATAAAACCAAGTATTGTTTTGAGAAATTTCGAGAGAAATTTCCTGGAACGAGTTACTCTCAAGATGTCAAAAAAAATATTTCCAACTTTTGTATTCACCCACCCTGTCCCAGAGGTTTCTATCCCATACATGCCCCGCCATCACCATACACCCCCAACAACATCACCCCCATCCACCATCCACCATCACCATCCACCATCACCACCATCATCACCATACCCCCACCATCACCATGCACCTCCACCATTACAAGCGCCCCCCACCATCACCATACCTCCCTACTGTCACCATACACCACCATCACCATACTCTCCCAAAAACACATTATCTACTTACGTTGCTTTACTTGACTAAGGTTGGATTTTTGACTTTCCTTTTTTGTGTTTAGAGTATTGTCAGTTGTCGTTTGAGAGGATGGAGCGCCGAAAGAAAATATCTGTTTATCAATATTCTTGCTTGAGCTTGCAGCACTTGAAAAGATCGTGTTGGCGGAATTCTCGTCTGATTTTCCAGCACCAAACGAGAAAATGACCGAAGACTTAGTCTCCTCACTTGTTGAGGTAACGTTAGCATCAGATTTTGTAACGTTATTGCTTCCAAAAGTGAAGTTCGACGATTCTGTTGTTTTGTTCTGACCGAAGGTAAAAGTTGATCCAATGTTTGTAGATTGGTTGGTTTGACTAGCGCCAAAGTTGAATCCCCCTCCTGATGAGATAGAGCTGACATCTGTGCTTGTAACACCCCCTCCTGATGCGATAGGGTTGACACGAGTGTTGGCAAATGAAAAACCACCAGATGACGAATCTTTATTAATGTTGTCTGTCTTACTCTTCAAATGTGAAGATGTTGAGTTGACATTACCCAAGGTAAATCCTCCTCCTGATGAGGTAGCGTTGACATCTTTGCTAGGTATTTCCCCTCCTGATGAAGTAGCGTTGACATCTTTGCTAGGTATTTCCCCTCCTGATGAGGCAGAGTTGACATTACCAAAGGTAAATCCCCCTCCTGATGAAGTAGCGTTGACATCTTTGCTAGGTATTTCCCCTCCTGATGAGGCAGAGTTGACATTACCAAAGGTAAATCCCCCTCCTGATGAAGTAGCGTTGACATCTTTGCCAGGTAATCCCCCTCCTGAAGAGGCAGAGTTGACATTACCAAATGTAAATCCCCCTCCTGATGAGGTAGAGTTGACATCCTTGCCAGATAATCCCCCTCCGGAAGAGGCAGATTTGACATTACCAAAGGTAAAGCCCCCTCCTGATGAGGTGGAGTTAACTTTACCACTTGTAAAGGAAAAACCACCCGAGGTGGAGCCTTCATTACTGCTGTTGGTCTGATTCTGTAACTGTGAAGGACCTTTACGAAAAAAAAAGTATTCATTAAAAATGATACACTAAAGCAAGGAACGTTTGATAAACTGTAAGTCAAAACGACAGCTCCTAATTCAATTACAAAAACAATATTTTCATTACAGTATTTTCATAATCAAAACTTCCTGCTACCTACGGATCCAGGTTTGCTCGTCTGACAGGCGGGACACTGCAGGATGTCGTTTTTATTTTGGATCATACACGTGGGGCATTCCCATAAGTCTTTTGGGGCAGCAAATTTAGGTTTTAGTACAGCAGCCTGTTTAGTATTGCTATCCGAAGTACCTTTGGGAGCTTCTAGCTTCTTCAAGTTCCCAATCTGGTTTTCCTTCTTAGCGAAACTGCTTTTACAAGTTTCCACGGGTTTTTTCCACTGGCAAGGAGCTGTATTCTCGATATTTGCCACAAAGTTCTTGACATTCACAGATTCTGGATTTTTTATCTCTTCAGGCGTCGACATTACGTCATTTCTTGATGGCGAAAATGCGTCATCGCTTTGAGGACTCTTCGAAAATAACGAAACGGAATTTTGAGTCGGCGAAGTGTATAACAAAGGCGCAGATTTTGAAGATTGCAATGAAGAACTCCTTGAAGGTTTTTTATTTCCAGAAACCTAAACAAGAAACAAAAAATTCATAGAACTACGCTGTCAAAGTCTCTCACCACAATGGATATGTTACTACTTTACGCCGACTGGGGAACAAAAGAAGGCAAGACAAAAAATAATATATTACACGGGCTGGGCACCCGACTTTTTTCAGGTGGGACGGGTTGGCAGGCAGATTTTGTTATTGCTTTGCATTGAACTAAAATACATGGAACGCTACCTGTAGTACCAAACCCTAATATGTCCGGGTGTAATCTCGGGTCGGGATATAACATTTGGCTTCAATTGTTTGCTTCAGGTAGCGTTCCATGTATTTGAGTTCAATGTTCCTTTGCCATCAATTAGGACTGGGCACCCGACTATTTTCAAGTGGGAGGGGTAGGCAAGCAGATTTTGTTACTCCTTTGCCATGTTTGACGTCAATTAGGACTGGGCACCCGACTATTTTCAAGTGGGAGGGGTTAGCAAGCAGATTTTGTTACTGCTTTGCCATATTCGACGTCAATTATATATTCATACATCTTCTCGTTCATCGCTAAAATGCAGTTTATAATGAACACATTTTTATTGCTTTATGCTACGATATACAAATATTGGTTCGTTCTTTAAACTTCAAATGTTAAATATAATAAAAACAGGCTTTGAGTAGTTGACAAAACCGCTCATAGACTGTGTGACAAAAGCTTGCTCCGTTTCTATAGGAAACCAAAGAAGTGTTCATACCTTTACTGGCGCAGGTTCACTAAAGGAGAACGATACCTAAAATATATAAGTCATCGATTATCTTCATGTAAAAAATCGTTAATAATAACAACGGAATGTTAAATACTTCATGTTAACGAACATGTACCTCGTTATCCGCGGTTTCAAGACACTCTTTAACTGAAAATTTTCGAGATTCAGTTTCGGGAGATGAAAAGAGAAAGCCGTTTCTAGGTGACTCTTGCCTTTCGCAGGATGGCGGTTTCTTCAACACACAAAATAACATCAAGGTGAGAAAAATAAGTTTACAAATAGAAAAAGATATTTTACTTACAAACAAGATTTCAAATCAACGTAAACTACTTTTACATGTTTGTTGATGTAGATCGTTCAGGTTGGTAAAGTCCTGAGAAGGACTGTTTTCGTTGTTGTTGACTGACGTTTCGACAACCTTAGCGGTAGTCATCTTCAGAGTCAAATGAAGTCTTTTGACTCTGCTTATATAATAAAACATATAAGGATTATAAAGACAAGTTTGTCGTGGCAAATGCTTGGGCAAAAGTGGCAGAAAATCTGAATCTATTGGAAGGTAAAACAATTTTCATTTGACTCTGAAGATGACTACCGTTAAGGTTGTCGAAACGTCAGTCAACAACAACAAAAACAGTCCTTCTCAGGACTATACCAACCTGAACGATCTACATTTACAAACATGTAACGATACTCCCGGGTTCAAACCATTTACTTTAAGTAAACAACTTTTCTTGGATGAAAATCTTTCGAAAGAATTCGTAATTAAAATAAAACAATAATTTATAAGCTAGACTATATTACCTTTTGTTTGTCATCAATAAAACTTTTCCTGGCGACATCGTTATTTGAATGAAGTGTTTTGGACGAATTGAACATTGGGAAAGATAAATTCTTATTCAAGTTCACAGGAAGTGGTATGGCATTATTGATTTCCGGTAGAGGATTCGCAACCTTAAAAAAATAACCAAAATGTTTGTTGCTGTCGAGTCTTTTCAAGTAAAGAAAACCATCGCCTCCCCCCCTAACTCAGTAACACAAACTTTGCATTCCTCCTAGTTTAACAAGAAAACCATCGCCTCCCCCCTAACTCAGTAACACAAACTTTGCATTCCTCCTAGTGTAACAAGAAAACCATCGCCTCCCCCCCTAACTCAGTAACACAAACTTTGCATTCCTCCAAGTTTAACAAGAAAACCTTCGCCTCCCCTAACTCAGTAACACAAACTTGCATTCCTCCTAGTTTAACAAGAAAACCTTCGCCTCCCCTAACTCAGTAACACAAACTTGCATTCCTCCTAGTTTAACAAGAAAACCTTCGCCTCCCCTAACTCAGTAACACAAACTTGCATTCCTCCTAGTTTAATGAGAAAACCATCACCTCCCTCCCTAACTCAGTAACACAAACTTGCATTCCTCCTAGTTTAACAAGAAAACCATCGCCTCCCCCCCTAACTCAGTAACACAAACTTGCATTCCTCCTAGTTTAACAAGAAAACCATCGCCTCCCCTAACTCAGTAACACAAACTTGCATTCCTCCTAGTTTAATGAGAAAACCATCGCCTCCCTCCCAAGTTTAGAAAGAAAAACAATACCCCCCTTCCGGGTTTAGAAAGACAAATATTACATCTCCCCAGAGTGCAAACAGTTTTAACGATTTGGGACTTTCGTTAGTAAAATTGTTAATCTATTTTGAATGTGGACGATTTCAAAACAATGGTTATTGACATTTTAGTGCTCCAATAAAACAAACCTCGCTTTCCGGGCTGTTTTTATTCGAGCTATAATGCATCGCTTCCCTGCGTGGAGCGCTTTTCATTTTGCCACCAGATTTTTTCGTATTCTCAATTGGCGATAGAGAGGTTGGTAAAGATTTGGGCGCTAAAGAACCAGGCAGAGAAGTCTAGTGAACAAGAAGCAGAGAATATCGTTAAAATAAATACAACGATGTTTCCAACTGACGAAAATCATTGTTACATACCTTGAGAACGACATCATTTAGATCACTGAAACTGTTGTAAAACCGGGAGAGAGAAAAGTTAGAGTTGAATATTGCACTAAAATACATGGAACGCTACCTGTAACACAAAACTCTAATAATTTTTTGAAGCCGTGATTTTACCCGACACGCGTGTGTAGTCAGTAAATCATCACTCCGCGAGAGAATCTCGAAACACTACACACGCGTGTCTTGGGGTAAAATCTCGCGTGTCTGATGTGTAAGATTTGGCTTCAATTATTTGCTTCGGGTAGCGTTCCACGCATTTTACTTCAATAGAGTTGAATGTTGAATGAAGATATGATCTTCGCACTTTGCTGGACAATTTAAGCAATTGTCTCACGAATCTGAAAAATTCAGGTGACTCAACGTGCGAAGAGCAAAGTGCGAAGATCGTATCTTCATTCAATTTCAAACACCGGACTGCAAATAACAATCTTTCAGAGTTGAATGTTGTTCTGAAAATAACACAACTGTATTGCCTGATTACCAGTTCTCTTAAATAACAATTATCTTAAGTCTAGCATAAAAAACGATTGCGTAGCAACGATTCTTTCGTTTTCGCAACAGAGTATATTATTCAAGTTTACGAGTTCATTTAAACAAATTTTTTCGAGGCTTTTACTGAACGATTTTCTTGAATAGTACATCTACTTATTAACTGGCTTTTGTTTCATTAACACGTAAAGAAAATGAACAGAGAAAAAGAAATTCCAATCACTGTACTTACAACGTGCTATCTTGGGAGCGGGGATTTGAAGGTCGGCGCGTGGTTGAAGGTGATGGATCAGATTGGACTTCTGTGGATTCACGGGGTTCTTCAACAAACGAAACTTTCGCAACATCGGGGGTTTGAAGTGACGATACAGGAGGATCACCAATTAATTTTGCCTAATGAAAACATGAAAAATATTCTCATGTCCGTCGTAACGACAGTTGGCCGTGAAGTTACTTTATTCGTACAAAAAATTTATTCTCAAACACAACTGGGAGCAGCTGCAACGAATCCGCCGCAAGCTTGACATTTATTTCATTCATAAAACCAGTTAATACAGCTACGTACACCATTACATCGGCTGAGCGGCCCAGCTTCTAAGAGTAGCAGCCTAAACTCAACAGTCTTAGTTACCAATATACATATGTTTATAGTGTTCCTTCTCGGAGGTCGGGGGGGGCGGGCTCTAGTCAAGATGTGTGAGGATGCAACAACAAAATGGGCTTAATATAACCTATAGTGTTCCTTCCCGGAAGTCGGGGGGGGGGGTTTAGTCAAGCTGTGTGCGGGTGCAACAACAAAATGGGCTTAATCTAACCTACACCACCCGCCACACCGATTCACAATCGGGCTCCCAAGGGTGTGTGAGAAAACATTTCCTGCCTTTTTCGTTCCTCAGTCGGCAGAAAATAATACTTTAAATAATCAAACATTGTTTGTTGAATAAGGCGAAATATTGTTTACATTCAAAGTTCACCTGCAGATATGAAACCCTTGGACCAACTTTTGTCTTGGGAGGTATTGTTCTTGTCTTTGAAGGCTATATAGTATGTGAAATATACAATTGGAATCATGGGATACAACTACTATGGAATCATGGGATACAACCACTATGGAATGATGTAATACAACCACTATGGAATCATGGGATACAACCACTATGGAATCATGGGATACAACCACTATGGAATCATGGGATACAACCACTATGAGATCATGGGATACAACCACTATGGAATCATGGGATACAACCACTATGGAATCATGGGATACAACCACTATGGAATCATGGGATACAAAACAAAATTTACATGCAGATAAAAATACTCACAATAAAAGATAAAGGTGAAGCAGATGCCAATGATATGGGTGCAGGAATACGTCGAACATCCTATATCAAGAAATATCATTATATCATCGCACGCCAAGTTGGTGGTTATTCATGGATATGGGGGGTGTCAAATGGATACTTGAATACACATACGTATCCAAATTAATACTTCATAAAATGCAACACAATTTTAACTAATGTGCAATTTACCAAAGAAATTTTTTATAAATTCAAAAAGCTTATACTCAAGCACAGACATCAATTACCAGATGACAAATTTATGAAGTATAAGAAACGTAATACGAATAAAAGATCCATTTAAACACTTCTTGGTGTAATGTGTAAAACCTCATCAATCCACTCATGTGCAAAAGCAAAGGTCAATGTCAAAATTAGCAATTAGAAGGGAAAGCATCAGCATTTTAAAGCCGCAGCATTAAAACTAACAAAGAAAAAAATTATCACCTTAAGAGGGGAAGAGACTGACTCCAAAGCATCAAGAATACGTTGAGCCGTTTTTGTGCTGGATCGGCCAGCAGCAGCACCTGTAATATTCATTAAAAAAACACAAAGAACTTCATGTTATATAACTATATAAAATCACATATGATGTATGATAGAACACATACAGCTTCATGTATTTGAAAAAATGGTGGGGAAATGACTTTGAAGTTTACATACTTTGTGTTGATAACTGTTTTACACCTCGAATACGTAATTTTGATACAGGATGATGGCTCTGAAGAAAAATTAAAAAAATATTTAGACCATAAAAATAACTTCGCCAATGAAACAATCACGATTACAATGTAATTAAGTAATAAAAGAACTTTACTGTGTTTGCAGTACATAGGCTTATGCAAAATGAGGACACCTTTGGGAGAATTTGATAGTTGATCAGTGCAGGCCAAAAAGACCAAATCACAGAATAAAGATTATACAGAAAGGTCACTCAGGTGTACAATGTGTCCTCATGTCGGCCATTATTCCAGTCAGATGATTAGGATTTTTCACTTGTTTACAACCATTAAAATTACATGACATCATTACTTAATAATGAATTCAAGTATATTTTGACTTAAGAAATGACTTCGGATCATTTTAAAGGTTTGGAAAAAGTCAAAAACCTTAATCATCTGGCTGGAATAATGGTGGCCACCATGCGCGGCACGACATGCGCGAGGACAAAAATATCAAAGGCTCCGACACGAGTGACCCTTCTGTATGTTCTTATTCTGTGACCAAATGTAGAGGGTTTACAAATGCTCAAGAAAAACATGGACAAACATAAAAACAAATGGAAAAAAACCTCGGAGCCTGGCGATGTTGACATCTTCCTTCTTTTAAAAGGTATTTCACGAGAAACATTCAAAGCTCCACCATAAATCACAGGTCCAGGATAGTTTGGTGAACCAACCCGTTTATTTTTGAACGATCGTTGCTACAAAGAACGTGGTAAAAAATCATACACAAAGCCCGAAATGATTAAGCGACAACAACGATAAATCATACCACAGGTGTGACAAATTTCTCGACAGAAAACAACGGTGTAGAATTGGTAGTTGAAAGAGCTGGTAAACTTGATGTTCTTGATGGTTTATCTTCTGGCACAGAAGCCATTTTTGGTGTCTCATTTCTAGTCGACATGCGGTCATTTATTGATAAATTCCTTGCACTTAAAGAATGCCTTGCTAGTTTATCATTCACGAGATTAGCACTTGATTCACCAGTATCATGTGCGGTAATTGGTGTTGATGAAAATTTCATTCTAGAAGTAGTGCTTCCACCTGAATTTGCACTGAATAAATTTCCTTTATTTCGAATGCCGTGCATCCCACGTTGCAATAGCAACGAGCTTGATGCAGCACGAGAATGGAGTAAGGAAGGTAATGGTTTCCGAGTAAGATGATCGGTCCTTTGAAATATACGATCTGAAGAATCAAAGACTGTCCTCTTTTGTCTTTCTTTGGCATCCTGGTAAATAAAATAAATTTGAAACATCAGAAACTGTGGTCGAAATTGATAAAATCTATTATATTTATAATTCAATAAAATGGAAGAGAAGTTTTGAGAGAGATGTTGGTTTTGGTTTAAATGTAGGGGAGACGCGAGGTTTCATAAGGAGATGTTATCACAAATATGAAATAAAATTTATAGAAAGTAAACTCCAAGTAAGTAAAAACAAATTATGGCCATTTATATCACAATTCTGATAGCCAAAGGATAGTGTGGAAAATTTTGTTTTTGGATACAAAGTTTATAAAAAGGGTCAGCAATCAATATTTTTACTTCTCTCTTATTTCGATTAATTAAACAGCGCTGTAACATGCGTCTAGTAAGTGTACATAAACTGATATGAGGTTGAATTGTAATAATTAAGCAACATGTATATTTTCAATAAATTTCTGGGGGAAGAAAAATTCCTTTCAAGTTTCCAAAAGAAACTTCCACATTGATCATAAACAAATGAAAGTAAGCCAAAGGTTATGTTGTATCTGACTTTGGGATAAGAAAAGCCAACTGGTTTAGTATCCATATTTGGGATACTAGATGACAGGGGGGGATACAAAATTCTAAAAACTTCGTATCTATATGTATACTTAAAAAAAAACTTCATTTCAGACCTTGCCATTTCTTGGTCATTTCATAGATCTTTCACTATAGACAAAACTACGATCAATGGAAAGATTGAATATTCAAGGCACAAAAATCAGGTCTAAACAGTTACCAATCAAATGACAGATCTAAGCATTTTTTTGCTCGGACTATCCCCATTTCTGATGTGAAAATTATTTTTAACCATAAAGTTTTGTTCCAGATATCTACAAAAATGGCTGGTGCAAAAGAACTGTAATGTGATGGTTTTGCCAGACAAGTGCTTGTCCTAGACGGATTATTTGACACACTGACATTGCACTATCTAGCCAGTGTTCAAATATAAGCCATCATATGACACATAAGTGAGAAAACCTTTTGACGAAAGAGGAAAAAGGAATTTTATCCTCACGTTTATCTTACATATTAAACCTTTCAATACTATAGGCTACTTTAGTGGACACTACATTGAGTCCTGCTACGTACAAATTCAGTTGACTTCCAACTTTAGCCAAAAATATTTTTGCATTTATTTTATAAATCCAAAGTTTAGACAATGTGATGAAATATTTCTGCTATACGTTTAAAATAATTATCATGTCGGGGTAAAAAAGGACATGGTTGTGAAAGAGTTAAAAAGGACGAATTGACGAAAATCTTGTTTCCTAGATGCTCATCTTTGAAAATGAGACATCTCAAAAAACAAGATTTGAAACCTTTAAGCTCATGCAATGCATTCCAAAAACTCACCTCAAAATCATCATCTAGGGAACCTGACAATCGAATCGAGTGATCACGGTTATCAAGTTTCTCCCTTCTGTCATTCTTGTCGTGAACAGTTAGATCATCATTCATATCGTCCTCATTCAAACTCTGTTCAGAATCATTTTCAAAACTTTCAAAACTGTCCTCATTTTCATCCTCTTCTGCAACATAAGAAGAAGCATGCTGTATTGGCTCTCTCACATTCGAAGCACTGCCTTCCTCATGTGTGACAGTAGCGTGACTGTCTAAATTTCGCTCGTACTCTTCAGAATCGTCCTTGCTTGATGAAAAATACCCGACCAACCAACTTGGATTGAAGTATTCTTTGACTTTATCAAAAATTCCCTAAAAATGAGCAAAAAAGTTTTACCGCTGAGAGCCATTTTAGTTTGCTTAAATGAGAACTATACGATCACATATAAAAAGGGGTAATTGTGTTAAATAGTAATCTACCTTATTTTTTGCTTCGTTAGGCCTCAAGTAAGGTTTGGAACTTCTTCGTTGCCTTGAATGACCGCGGATTTTATACGACTTCTGGTTAGGTTGATCGACCATTATGCGATCCTATAGCCGCAGAAGATAATGGTCCGTTTTCCACCCACCAGGATCAATCGTAAGGGTGTTCTTTTAGACGGTTTTTTATCGATAAAAGCTGAGTCTTTTCCGACATGTGTGAGGATTTCTCTACTTCGCAAATCGCAAGATGAGCGCTCAGTCTTACAGCTCTTTCATTGGCTAGACACGATCACGTGGTGTTGCAGTTGAACTTCGCGGGCCGTTCAACGACAAAAAAAATATCGCTACTTTCTTCAATTTTTCGTAGAAATACTTTCAAATAAAAAAATTTGTAAGGTGCAAAGCATGAAAACTGGCAGAGAAAGTCAACAAAGGGAATTCTGACGTTCTCAAAGTTCACTAACACCATTGCAGACTGAGAAATACGAACTTCGTGACATAAGCAATTTCCGAACCACCCCCCCCGTATTGGCAGAGAATCAAAATAGTTACCAGTACCTAGGAATAAATCAGTAAAAGATCATTTTTTTCTCACATAAATTATATCTTTATTTTATTACCAACATTAAGCAACATTATTAAGATAAAAACAATTTTCAATGCAACTATGTGTAGGAAACATATTCCCATATGAGATTTTAAAATTAATCCACATATAATCAACACATTCGACCATGCCCATCTTTAGGTTTGATGTCTATTCCGAGTCCATGATGGCCAATACATATCCGAGAGATAAGACTCGTTACTTAGTTCCCCACGTAATTCTTTCTCCCATTGGCTCTCACAAAGTCTATATAGCGACATTGTAGCTCGAGCATCTTCGACTGAGCAATGCTCACCATCTTGAATGGTCTCGTTCAACAATATACCAGCTAGATCTCTCAAGGACGGTGTCATATTCTGCTTTAAACCAGCTAATCCTCTGATTGGACAATACTTCGAGGTATCCCTCACCAAATGCCGAGGATGTGTGAGTTTCAGTGCAAGAAGATCTGAATGCAATGCATGACCAACTAAAATACAACCTTCGATGATTTTCCTCACAAACTTTCGTACATCATCGAAACAGTGACCATCTTTTAGATCCTCTCGACGAATGCCACTCCATTTTGTACGATAATCTGTAACGGGCTGCCCAGGTTTAACATAAACATCGACCACAACTTCACCATTGTAGTTAACCAAACTGCATCTCGCCAGTGCATTTGAATAGCAATGGCCAACACCAACCATCTCACAATCTAATGCGAGACACTTTGTCAATTCCACATTGGTTTTAAGAAAAATCCCTTTGGTTACGAGTTCACTACAGCTCGCCAAAGAATCTGAAGAGCATTCAGACGAGTTATCAGTGTTTGTAAAGATTTCTTCGCATTTAGGTTCATTGGTTTTTAGTCTTTTCGCAATTGAATTATGACCGTTCGTTTGCAGCCGTTTCAACTTCATGTTGGCACGAATACTTCTAAGGAAAAGCGCGATCTTGTGTTTTGTAGAAAAACCAATTTCAGCGATCAAAAAATGAGAAACGCTTCGAAAAGTACATTCATGTCCAGTCTAAACTTCTGACACGTGGGATTAAGGCAGAGCAGAGAGATTTATTTCAATATACGCTAAGCCGATCCCAAATCTAATCTCCATCTCATATTAGTAGAAGGAAATTATTACGTATTTTTGGATTGGATCATAGTTCTTCGAAAGGTTTAATCAATGTGGTTTTGAATCTCTGTTTGATATTCTGCTTGTTCATATTGATTTCTTTAAAGATCTTTTCGATTGTTTTATTTACAACGAATATACGAAATACATGTACAAAACGTCACGTAGTTTCATATATTTTCTGTAAGTTTATAACAACAATCTGGAAAACCCATGAGAAAATCCAAGACCTTGAATGAATAAAGAATTTTTTGAATATTGCATTTGTTGCTGTGATATTTGTAACGAACTAGATTGAAAATATCTTCATGTACACATTCCGTTCAAAACCATATAAAAATTTGCTGTCGATTCACCGATTTAATAATATTTTCATCGTTTCCAGCTTTTGAAAATAGGAGAGCTGGCTTTAATGAACACAGAAAGGTTTTTTCCTCAAACAAAGAGGTTTTTCTGCTTCGACATAACCGGTTTGAGACCTGCGTGGACCTTTAGATGGTCCTGGGGAGGTAAACAAACAACAACAAATAAATGTAATCCAATATAAGCGCTATGGCCGGCAGTGAAATGCGGACTCGACGCCTCAATCGCGAATTGACACAATTACAAGAGAACGCTATTGCCGGAATCACTGTTAACGAAGATACAATGTCCTCCAATTTAGAAACGTAAGTGTATACACTAATACTAAAGAAGCGATGTTCGGATGTGCCGGTATTTTCGTTAGTTTTAATTTTCAACGATGTCTCAACCAATCATGACGGCCAAGATGAGATTATTATGATACTGATGAGAATTTGACTTCTAACACTCAACCATCTTTAGTATTTAAAGTTGGAATGAAGTCAAAAAACAACAATATTCCGTTTTTCGTCCTACTGACTAAATTACCATTTTTCTTGTAGGTGGATTATGAATGTTGAAGGTGCTAAAGGTAAGATTGACCAAATTGCCCCTCTCCCTCCCCCCACTCGTACACACATTTATTGAAGAATAATGAATGAATATGATGTACTTTAGGGACACTGTATGAAAATGAAAAATATCAACTACAGTTCAAATTTACCTCTAAGTATCCATTTGAATCTCCACAGGTAGTTACTGATAACATTTACTTGAAAGTTAAAGTCCTGCAATAATTCCATTATGATGATTTGTCAGGTCATGTTTGTCGGTGAACATATCCCTGTGCATCCCCATGTATACAGCAATGGTCACATATGTCTCTCAATACTCACTGATGATTGGTCGCCGGCATTGTCTGTGCAGTCAATATGTCTGAGCGTGCTCAGTATGTTAAGTAGTTGTAAAGAAAAGGTTGGTTTTGATACACTTACAAAAGATAAAAAAATGCTAAAATATTATGCTAAATTATTTTAACATGTTTTCATTTCAGAAACTCCCCCCTGACAACGAATGCTATGTTAAAACTTGTTCTAAAAACCCCAAAAAAACAAAATGGTGGTTTCACGGTATGTCTTACAGTTGATGGAAGTCTGAACTAAACCAACTTTATTTATATTTGATATCACTAGATGTCAGTTCTAAACTATGTTAAAGATTCAGTAAAGATCATCTCTTATTGATTCAGTGTTACTACAGAAAGAAACCTAAACTAAACTAACTTTATTTATACTAGATATCTCTATCAGTTCTAAACTGTTCTTTCTAAAGATCCAGTAAAGATCATTTCTTATTGACCCAGAGTTACTATAGAAGGAAACCTAAACTAAGCTAATTTTATTTATACTAGATATCTCTATCAGTTCTAAACTGTTCTTTCTAAAGATACAGTAAAGATCATCTTTTATTGATCTGGTGTTACTACAGAAAGAAACCTAAACTAAACTAACTTTATTTATACTAGATATCTCTATCAGTTCTAAACTGTTCTTTCTAAAGATACAGTAAAGATCATCTCTTATTGATCCAGTGTTACTACAGAAGAAAACCTAAACTAAACTAACTTTATTTATACTAGATATCTCTATCAGTTCTAAACTGTTCTTCCTAAAGATACAGTAAAGATCATCTCTTATTGATGCAGTGTTACTACAGAAGGAAACCTAAACTAAACTAACTTTATTTATACTAGATATCTCTATCAGTTCTAAACTGTTCTTCCTAAAGATACAGTAAAGATCATCTCTTATTGATGCAGTGTTACTACAGAAGGAAACCTAAACTAAACTAACTTTATTCATACTAGATATCTCTATCAGTTCTAATCTGTTCTTACTAAAGGTTCGGTAATGATCCAGTGTTACTACAGAAGGAAACCTAAACTAAACTAACTTTATTTATACTAGATATCTCCATCAACCTCAGAATGATCTTCCCAAAAAGAGAAGTTTTTGATGCAGCAAGAAATGCTTTAAACCCCCAAAAAAAAATAAAAATATTTTAAAAACTTTTTCACAATATGTGCATATGTGTTTACGTGTTGTAATTTTATTCATCTTTTTTTCAGATGATAATGTATGAAGACCATAAAGATAAACTTTTATAGACATAAAAATAGCTCATATAAAGTGGTTTGTCACATGTTGTGTTCGATGACATCAGTTCTAAAAATAGCGAAGCACTTACAAAATTCTATGAACCGACTTTTAAGAGTCATATGTGTAAATAATCGGAGTAAACATTTTACTTCAAATGAATAATTTAGTTGAGTGATGAATTTCTCAAACTTGCCTCGAAAATTCTTTCAATCATTTTTCATTTAATATGATTTCATTATGGCAAACACAGTATATTGGCTCATTCCTATCTTCCCAGAACGCTGTTGATTCTTCATCAACGCTAAAACTGTGCATGGCTAGATCATTAAATATAGTATCTGGATCAAACGACTTTTTTATAACTTTTTCCGAGACATATGGTAAGATTTTTGCAATATAACCTGCTTCGGCCTTGAGTTGGCGTAAAGGCAAGCGCTCTTCGTAACTGGAAAATTTGTTGCCAAATATAAACACGTTGCGCAGGCCTCTACCCCAATTCGCCCATAAAATGTTATTATACAAAGGTTTTCCTCCATGCGGGATGTAGAAGAAAGTCTTCGATGTGACAGTTCGTTTAGCCTCCTCGTTAATAGGAATCAATTGAAATCCAAAATCCTCGACGATCCTTTTATCCACTTCACAAAATATTGGATCATAGATAAAGCACTTGCCAGAAGGCTTCAAATATTCCCATAGCAACACAAGCAATGCAAACTGGCATCTGGCTGTGTGACATTCAGATAACTTACCGATTGCATAACACACGAAGTCTTGAAAATGCGTTTCACCTGGCAAAATGCTGCCGCTCGCAGCCGTACTTGATAAAATGTCAATTAATTCTTCGTAAAACGGACTGCGGCCTAGCTTAATTTTGTATTGATGAATGTCGTCTTTGATTAAATCGAGTCGCCTTTCCACCGAGCTGTGTTCAAACGTCGAAGTGTCTTCGGGAAACTTTTCTTTCCTCCCAAGGAATTTGTTTTGCTTTGGAAACTTATATTTAACAGTTACAAACCCATCTTCTTCCTTCATCCTTGCTTTTCTATTTTCATTCATTACGTATACTTCATGTAGTACAAACAACAAAGGAGGCATTAAAAAGGGTACGCGTTGCGGACGTATGAACAAAGCTTTCGTTTTAAAAGCAACATAAATCGTTGTTTACAGTGCTGTAGAACTAAATTTATCAGATGGGGGCTCTCTTGACGAAGCGGAAGCCATGAAATTATGAAAAATTACCCATTTCAAAGGTAGAAGGGGGCTCCTTCCCCAAGCGCCCCCCACTTCTACAGCACTGGTTGTTTACAAGAGTAAAATAGCATGAATTACAAAGATTGTTTTTTAGCTTGAAGGCTGGTTATTATGTATTTATCCGCGTCGTTTGAGTCCTCTCAATTAAGCCTTTTTAGTCGTCTGGGCAAGTGATTGACACAATGAAACGACTAGGACCCAGGCTTTAGACGCTCACAAATACATAAAGAATACAAGACTCGCACAACTAGGAAGACTAAACGAAAACCAGCCTTTATGCTTATGTCACATGCATCGTTGACCGTCATTATTTATCTTTTGTCTTTCCCTGCGCTAATCTCTATTTCTCTCGTGCGAATCAGGCTTTAAACATCAGATATTATAACCTACAAAGGCCGAGTCCAAAGAAGACATATGACCATTAATATGGCTTATATAACAACCTTGCCTTAATATTGATATATCATGTAGCAGACAGCAGGAAAGGGCGAGCGAGCAACAGACAATGAAGGCTACAACTAATTACGGACCTCATATCGCGATAACAATTTATCTTGAGCTTCCTATCCACGATAACGATACATTTGAAGACAAAACAATCAAGATATGGTGCATTTACATATTTAGGTAAATTAAAAACTAGGCAACTCACACTTGCTTTACTTAGTTAAACGCAAAGCTTGTTTAAAAATATCGTAAAGTATGCAAATTTCACCGAGAATGAATATTCTCGCTTGCGGAATGCTTTTATGATCAAACTTCAAGTTTGATTTATATTCATCAGGCACATTTCAGCTGCACGGACAAATGACTTTGGTTCATAATATACTTAAGTTAAGCACCTAAATGAGCACTTAGATATTGTAGACGCCATGAAGCACGTTCACAACATTTCGAGTCATTGAGCAGACGGCGTATGTTCAAGCATGAAATTGACAATAAGCTGAACACGTGTGGGGTTTTAGACTGTTGACTTTCATTGTTTAACCTATATAAACAATTAAACGTAATTAACATTTGCACCTGAAGGGCAGACGCGGCGCACTCGATCGATTAAAGCAACAAAGCATGACTAATTTCTAATTTGGTATTAATCTGTAACTTCTTCGTCTGCTATATCCTTATTTTGTTACATTCTACGTATCGCCTTCTTCACTCAAATTCGGCAGAGAAATAAAAACGCTATCAATCATTTCACAACACATGCTAAACTCTCAGGTCATGGAAACAAATAAAACGCAATTAAGCCCCCACTATTACCTAACAAGCGCAACACTCGTATCAACAAACAAACGCGAAAGAAAACAAAAGCGATGAAAGTTCGACTACAACTTTAATTCATTCAATCTTATCATTGATGGCCTTTCAAGAGCAAGACGCACAAGATTACCTTCTCGAGCAGCTGTCAATTTATACGCCGATAGAGACGACGTTTTCCATTTATCATGACATAAATATTTAAATCTTTTGAGCACTAGTTAAAGTATTTAAGCAGGATAAACAAAGATAACAGATCAGTTCGCAGCGATATCTTCAAGTTCAAGACGTGATCTGGTTTTATTACGATAAACGCAAGACTTTTAAAATTCGAAGGTAATATTCTTAATAATCTACGGTTAGATCATTTTTGAGGTATTCATGTTAACTGTTTCCTAAGATATTCATGTTCTCTTTTTCATAAGATATTCATGTTCTCTGCTTTTTAAGATTTTCATGTTCTCTGTTTCCTAAGGTATTCATGTTCTCTGTTTCCTAAGATGTTCATGTTCTCTGTTTCCTAAGATATTCATGTTCTCTGTTTCCTAAGATATTCATGTTCTATGTTTCCTAAGATATTCATGTTCTCTGTTTCCTAAGATATTCATGTTCTCTGTTTCCTAAGATATTCATGTTCTCTGTTTCCTAAGATATTCATGTTCTCTGTTTCCTAAGATATTCATGTTCTCTGTTTCCTAAGATATTCATGTTCTCTGTTTCCTAAGATATTCATGTTCTCTGTTTCCTAAGATATTCATGTTCTCTGTTTCCTAAGATATTCATGTTCTCTGTTTCCTAATATATTCATGTTCTCTGTTTCCTAAGATATTCATGTTCTCTGATTCCTAAGATATTCATGTTCTCTGTTTCCTAAGATATTCATGTTCTCTGTTTCCTAAGATATTCATGTTCTCTGTTTCCTAAGATATTCATGTTCTCTGTTTCCTAAGACATTCATGTTCTCTGTTTCTTAAGACATTCATGTTTTAACTCTGCTGACACATTCATCTACGTTTTAGATGAAAAACTTTGAAGTCGTAGCATTTTTAATGCTATCACTCCTAGTGCTATGTTCCGGCAAACCTGGTTGCCCCCCCGGGATGTGGATCCGTTGTGACGAAAGCAAGACTAGCCGGGAGTATCGTCCAATGAAAAGACTGGGTCTTAGAAATATAAACGAAGGAAAACGTGTCAGTAGAGTGAAAGATGAAGATGTAATCGAAAACTTTCAAGGTTATTATGCAAACTATTAATCAATGAAAATAGTGAAAAACACGCACGAAAATAAAAATACTGTAATATCAAAATACAAAAATTCAATATTTCTATGCCCTACTACTTATCTTTTCCCGCCATTTTTTTCTGTAACCGAGTAAAACCACAAGGAGAACTGGGTTCTACACCATCATGCCGCCAATAACTGCCTTCTAGAAAGTCGTATTTGTCTAGAGATGCGTTGAAAATTTCCGTGCTATATCCTGGAGCCTGGAAATGAATAAAAATCGCGTGAGAAAGTAAAGCTAATATATAGCGGCGATCGATGTTTCAGAAACTCTCTCTAACACTTAGCTTTGTCACTTTTAAATTGTTCTGTCTAAAGATACAGTAAAGATCATCTCTTATTGATCTACTGTTACTACAGAAAGAAACCTAAACTAAACTAACTTTATTTATACCATAGATATCTCTATCAGTTCTAAACTGTTCTTACTAAAGATCCAGTAAAGATCATCTCTTATTGATGTACTGTTACTACAGAAGGAAACCTAAACTAAACTAACTTTATTTATACCATAGATATCTCTATCAGTTCTAAACTGTTCTTACTAAAGATCCAGTAAAGATCATCTCTTATTGATGTACTGTTACTACAGAAAGAAACCTAAACTAAACTAACTTTATTTATACTAGATATCTCTATCAGTTCTAAACTGTTCTTCCTAGAGATCCAGTAAAGATCATCTCTTATTGATCCAGTGTTACTACAGAAGAAAACCTAAACTAAACTAACTATATTTATACTAGATATCTCTATCAGTTCTAAACTGTTCTTTCTAAAGATCCAGTAAAGATCATCTCTTATTGATCCAGTGTTACTACAGAAGGAAACCTAAACTAAACTAACTTTATTTATACTAGATATCTCTATCAGTTCTAAACTGTCTTCCTAGAGATCCAGTAAAGATCATCTCTTATTGATCCAGTGTTACTACAGAAAGAAACCTAAACTAAACAAACTTTATTTATACTAGATATCTCTCTCAGTTATCACATTTTTGTTGTATATTCAAGACACGCGGTTCTCAAAGCAACAAAACTAAACCCAACACACCTTAGGTGCAAGATAAGCACCATTCATAACAACAGGTGGATCTGTAAAATGTTCGTGTAAATGATCGGCATATTCAGTTGCTCTAAAAACAAACATAAAACACAACTCGTCACAAGGTTCACACTACAAACCATCGAACAATGTTTTAAATATAGTTACTTGTCCTTCAGCGTTGGCGATATACATATGTAATCAAATATGGAAATGTGTTGAACCATTTCACACAAACCGACGCCACCGGCATGCGGCCAGACGGGAACTATAAAAAAACCGAACGACAAAATCTAGCATTTCAACAGAAAAACCGTGACGACGACAGAAACCTGGGGCCGAGGTGCAAAATTTTTATTACGTAGCCATATGACATCAAGTGTCTGAAAAGCTTAAAGTACTTCAAGGTGATGTAAGAAAATGTGATAGACAGACTAAAATAACGATCGATTTTAATATTTTAATACACAAAAAGGATTTTTACTATTTTAAGTTCCCTCTGGACATTTCTTTAAGCCTGCATCACACTAGTTGTAAGAGTCGGGAAAATCGTATTGTATCATCATATGCGATCATTCCAGTAATGAATTTATGAACATGGCAAATACGAGATCCCAGAAAATCTGTCAGATTCGTAAATATCGGGAAAATAAGAATGGTTTCTATTTGATTCCGATATCCCAGTTAAACAGCGCCAATCGGGGATTCGTAGGACAAATTACGTCAAGTGTGAACCAGGCCTTTCGGTGAGAGGACTGGACACGATGCCCCAGTGCCCACCCCCCTCCCCCCAAGTACCGAATATACACACATAAATATGTACCGTTAGTGGAAGGCAGAGCCTTGTTGAGTTGCTGCCTTTGAATCTTGGCATCAGTCCAGTTATATTATGGTCAGTGTGATTATCATTGACTGGATTATCCACATCATCAAGAAATTTAAGTATCAAGCATGATACTCGGGAGAAAAAAGGTTTCTAGGGGATCGATAGGGATAATCTGACCATACCTTGAAATTTTGCCGCCATCAAAAGGACAGCGATTACTTCATTTAAGCCTGCCATACGACAGCTATCGATCTGACAGTATTGCAAGCCTTTGGATTGCAAGTATTGTTTGAACATCACTCTGTTACAGCACACTTCTCCGGTAGCTACACCGATACCCTCGGGATTTAGGGCATCGGCTATTTTCGCGTGACCCAAAACATCGTCGGGATGTGTGGGTTCCTCAATGAACTTCGGTTTGTAAGGGGCGAGTTTTTTCATGTTTACGATGGCGTCTTGGACACTCCAGACTTGGTTAGCATCCATCATCTAGAACGGAAATAAAAAGAGAGAAATTAAAGTTGTCTTCACGAAACACGGAAATCATCTTCTAGTATAGTAACAAGATAATCATTGTCTTCAATGTTCTACCAACTAAACTACAAGATCAACTGTGAACTATGATGATATTTTCAAAACACAGTTCTAGTTTCTTTCATATCTTAATATCATAGATAATAACATCACGTTGTTGTGATGTACTCAGGTATAATAACAAGATAATCATTGTCTTCAATGTTCTACCAACTAAACTACAAGATCAACTGTGGACTATGATGATATTTTAAAACACAGTTCTAGTTTCTTTCATATCTTAATATCATAGATAATAACATCACGTTGTTGTGATGTACTCAGGTATAGTAACAAGATAATCATTGTCTTCAATGTTCTACCAACTAAACTACAAGATCAACTGTGAACTATGATGATATTTTAAAACACAGTTCTAGTTTCCTTCATATCTTAATATCATAGATAATAACATCACGTTGTTGTGATGTACTCAGGTATAGTAACAAGATAATCATTGTCTTCAATGTTCTACCAACTAAACTGCAAGATCAACTGTGGACTATGATGATATTCCAAAACACATTTCTAGTTTCTTTCATATCTTAATATCATAGATAATAACATCACGTTGTTGTAATGTACTCAGGTATAGTAACAAGATATTCATTGTCTTCAATGTTCTACCAACTAAACTGCAAGATCAACTGTGGACTATGATGATATTTTAAAACACAGTTCTAGTTTCTTTCATATCTTAATATCATAGATAATAACATCACGTTGCTGTGATGTACTGAGGTATAGTAACAAGATAATCATTGTCTTCAATGTTCTACCAACTAAACTACAAGATCAACTGTGGACTATGATGATATTTTAAAACACAGTTCTAGTTTCTTTCATATCTTAATATCATAGATAATAACATCACGTTGTTGTGATGTACTCAGGTACAGTAACAAGATAATCATTGTCTTCAATGTTCTACCAACTAAACTACAAGATCAACTGTGAACTATGATGATATTTTAAAACACAGTTCTAGTTTCCTTCATATCTTAATATCATAGATAATATCATCACGTTGTTGTGATGTACTCAGGTATAGTAACAAGATAATCATTGTCTTCAATGTTCTACCAACTAAACTGCAAGATCAACTGTGGACTATGATGATATTCCAAAACACATTTCTAGTTTCTTTCATATCTTAATATCATAGATAATAACATCACGTTGTTGTAATGTACTCAGGTATAGTAACAAGATATTCATTGTCTTCAATGTTCTACCAACTAAACTGCAAGATCAACTGTGGACTATGATGATATTTTAAAACACAGTTCTAGTTTCTTTCATATCTTAATATCATAGATAATAACATCACGTTGTTGTGATGTACTCAGGTACAGTAACAAGATAATCATTGTCTTCAATGTTCTACCAACTAAACTACAAGATCAACTGTGAACTATGATGATATTTTAAAACACAGTTCTAGTTTCTTTCATATCTTAATATCATAGATAATAACATCACGTTGTTGTGATGTACTCAGGTATAGTAACAAGATAATCATTGTCTTCAATGTTCTACCAACTAAACTACAAGATCAACTGTGAACTATGTTATTTTAAAACACAGTTCTAGCTTTTTTCATCAAAGATCAAGTTTCGTTATTTTGTAAGTAACGAAAAATTTAAGCTGTTTACTATATTTTGACAAAATTTGCCTACCAAATCTTTCTCCCACCCGACAACTTCACGAATCAACGCGGCTCTTTCCGAATCTTTCTCCACATCCAAACCAACTTTCATTTTAAATCTAATAAATAGAAGTATTTTACATAATCACAAGCTAAAAAAATTTGTTTTTTGTTCAATTAAACATCTTACCTTGTCCACCCCTCGGCCAAAGCATCGCGACAAAGTTTACGGATTTTTGATTCGTCGTAACCAAGCCAACCAACTGACGTAATGTAAGCTGGGTAACCATGCTCCAAAATATTCTGTTCTAATTGAAGATTAAAATATCGAACAGTTCTAATTGAATATTAAAGTATACAACTGTTCTAATTGAACATTAAAGTATACAACTGTTCTAATTGAGCACTAAAGTATACAACTGTTCTAATTGAACATTAAAGTATAAAACTGCTCTAATTGAGCATTAAAGTATACAACTGTTCTAATTGAACATTAAAGTATAAAACTGTTCAATTGAGCATTAAAGTATACATCTGTTCTAATTGAGCATTAAAGTATACAACTGTTCTAATTGAACAATAAAGTATAAAACTGTTCTAATTGAACATTAAAGTATAAAACTGTTCTAATTGAGCATTAAAGTATACAACTGTTCTAATTGAATATTAAAGTATACAACTGTTCTAATTGAACATTAAAGTATAAAACTGTTCTAATTGAATATTAAAATATACAACTGTTCTAATTGAACATTAAAGTATAAAACTGTTCTAATTGAATATTAAAGTATACAACTGTTCTAATTGAACATTAAAGTATAAAACTGTTCTAATTGAATATTAAAGTATAAAACTGTTCTAATTGAGCACTAAAGTATACAACTGTTCTAATTGAGCATTAAAGTATAAAACTGTTCTAATTGAGCACTAAAGTATACAACTGTTTTAATTGAACATTAAAATATCAAACTAAATTTCAAAGGTAGTTGGTTATAAACATTAAGAGAGGAATAGTTCTTCGCCATTTTTTTAACAATAGGTGAAATGTCCCATTCTTATACCTCTTTCTGATTTTGTGGCAAAGTTCTTTTGAAGAATTTCTGTAGAAAAAAGATGGACACTATAAACCACAGAAGATAGATATGCGATGTCAAAATAATTTGCATCAAACGACACCAACCTAGAGCTTCCTCTTTCGTCAACGCGTCATCTCTACAAATCATAAAGTCTAGAATATGTCACGTGATCAAATAGTGATCACTGTGTCGTCATCATTGAAATGAATATAATAGTTGCGAGGCTTCCTCCCGCCAAAATTTGAAACACGTAATTTTTAACTAATCCCAATCTTTTCACACGCGGCCACAATAAAATTTATCACGGACATTTTACTTGATGTAAGTACAGGTATATTTACCCAAAGGTCGCATTCCAGTTATATATTTTAGTCGTCGTTCACACTTTTCACAAAGCGCAAGCAACATTTTTTGATAGCATAGAAATACAAAATCCCAGAGAATACAAATAAAAGTTAATACTCTGCGGTAGAACGCACTTAAGGCTGCCTTTAGTTACGAGAAATTCTTCATATCAACGTTACATTAAAGTTTCATAGCTTACATATGTTTAAAGTCGATTGTCGAGAGTAATTTCTTCGGCTCCTAAGAGCATAAGAAGCAAAAAAACAAACACGATGTAGCACGATATCAAAAGAATTTTGCTGCAAAAATCTTTAATGACATCTTTAACATACCATGTCAACCAGAAGCTTCCAAACTGGCTACAACGAAGCAAATTGAGCATAATTAAACATTAGTGAAGCAATAATTGAACCATAATTGAACGTTATTACAAGCCATAATTAAACATTAGTGAAGCAATAATTGAACCATAATTGACCGTTATTACAAGCCATAATTAAACATTAGTGAAGCAATAATTGAACCATAATTGAACGTTATTACAAGCCATAACTAAACATTAGTGAAGCAATAATTGAACAATAATTGAACGTTATTACAAGCCATAATTAAACATTAGTGAAGCAATAATTGAACCATAATTGAACGTTATTACAAGCCATAATTAAACATTAGTGAAGCAATAGTTGAACCATAATTGAACGTTATTACAAGCCATAATTAAACATTAGTGAAGCAATAATTGAACCGTAATTGAACGTTATTACAAGCCATAATTAAACATTAGTGAAGCAATAATTGAACCATAATTGAGCGTTATTACAAGCCATAATTAAACATTAGTGAAGCAATAATTGAACCATAATTGAGCGTTATTACAAGCCATAATTAAACATTAGTGAAGCTATAATTGAACCATAATTGAACGTTATTACAAGCCATAATTAAACATTAATGAAGCAATAATTGAACGTTAGCCACAAAGACGCACACAACTGCACGACAATTGAAAGATAAACGCAATTTGTCTTGCACACAACAGGACAATCTCATTATTGTTAAAAAAAAACGCTCTGTATTAATGTCTACAATAAATAAACTCCCACAACCAGAGTAATTTTCTTCCTTTAGTAGCGATAAAAAAAACAAAGTTTAAACACCAGCTACTTAAGACTCTCTCCAGACGCTAACATTCAACTGTTATACAGCAAACTTTGCAGTCAACTCTCACCTTTCCTTCAATACGCGCCCAGAGATCCCATAGCGCATTGATGATACCAGCGAGTCCCGTATGAAGTGCCCCTTTCTCAGGACCAATCTAGACATAAGACATCGCGGGTGAATTTTAAGGTCCAAAATGTTCAACTTAATGTGTAAAATTCCCGCAAACATTGGACTGATTTTACTATGGCCTATTATGTATAAAATATGCACAAACATTGTTAATTTAGTATTCTTGTTAAAATTAATTTCTGTTAAATCTGCGCACGCTCCACGTGGAAAACAACTCACTTGTTGACAATGGTTAGCGTGTTGAGATAAAAATTATTCATTCATAAAAATTATTCATTCAAACATTGCTTATGTAAGATGGGTTGTACAAAAGATCGTGTAGGATGGCAGAGTGTAGTCATAGACAGGTTGTATGAAACGATTGCTCCTCTTTGAAATCAACCAACCGACGTTTAGAATTATTAGCGTGATTAAGCATTATTTAACTTTCAAGGAGACGCAAAACGCAACTGAAATGAATTTCATGGTTGGAATTTTTATTGTGCTAGAGCAGCAAGCTGTATTTTTATTTTTGTATTCAGTTGTCTCAACAGCTCTTTGGAGAACGGTAACTGCCGAACCATGTAAATTCTCTCAAAGAGAAGCAATTCTTTAGATACGCTACGAAGAGGATACAGCCTTCTCTAACACGAGTTCGACTGATTATAAGAGAAGAGGATGAAGAGAAAGAATATTGTTGGAAAGGTTTGGACAATTTGTCAATTCACATACAGAGAAGAAGAGAATGACAAAGTATGACAGAAAGGTGACAAGTTAGGACAGCAGCTCGTGTTGATAAAGTGCATTGGAATGTATGGCACGCGTCATACTTGAGGATACTCATAATATGTAAACGTAATAATTTTTTTTACTTAATAATTAATTAACCTCGGATAAATTAATTGACTAACTATTCATTTTTTTTACAACTAATGCGTTCGTTACAATATACGAGGCTGCTTCACGAAAAGATCTCAATCTGAGAAATGACAAAAACAGCTTGAAATGTCTGATACGGATGCAACTAAACAGAACTGTCAATGTGATTGCTTGTAGATTTTGTGAGCGAGGCGACCATTTGACAACTTTATGTTACTTTACTTATTTTTGATCATTTCTCTTTCGACAGTTTCACTTCATTGTCAAAGAAATCATAAAATGGCGTGTGAGATGAGTAATACGTTGATACGTATATTGTAAGTTGATACGCTGTTGATACAAGATAAACAACAGAACTAAGTTGTTTGAGTAGTGCATAAGCACACTGTATAAAGATAATGAATGTATTATATCAAAGAAATACATTGAGGCAGAACCAAGTTGTTTGAATAGCGCATACCACGCTATATAAATATTATGTATTTTATCAAACAGAATTTAGGCAGAACCAAGTTGTTTGAATAGTGCATACCACGCTATATAAATATTATGTATTTTATCAAACAGAATTTAGGCAGAACCAAGTTGTTTGAATAGTGCATAGCACACTATATAAATATTATGTATTTTATCAAACAGAATTTAGGCAGAACCAAGTTGTTTGAATAGTGCATACCACGCTATATAAATATTATGTATTTTATCAAACAGAATTTAGGCAGAACTAAGTTGTTTGAATAGTGCATAGCACACTATATAAATATTATGTATTATATCAAACAGAATTTAGGCAGAACCAAGTTGTTTGAATAGTGCATAGCACACTATATAAATATTATGTATTATATCAAACAGAATTTAGGCAGAACTAAGTAGTTTACAGTACATCAAAAATTGTTGACAATGTGCATAGTTTTGGCACAATGCAAAATATCTATGTAGGATTTGCATACAGCCATAACTTTTGTTGCAGTTAAAAACTCAATCTCTAGGAAAACATTTTAGTCTGTAAAACAGCAAGTTATCGCCCAAATAATTTTTCTATAATTCTTTGAAAATTCGCAATCAAAGCCAAATTCTAAACATTAGGTCAAAAGTGGTTGACATAATGTATTCAAGTAAGAAATCAAACACATCCTTACCCATCTCAACTGGCTTTCGTCAACTAACCACCGCCAAAACTCGCCAAAGTGGCAAAATATCCAATCAAGGGAGAGTCCAATTACAAATGGCCCATATGCCTTTATCGCGCTGACAACTAAATAAACCAGAATTCACATGAAATGTTTACACGATCCGCCTGTGAAATGTCATTCAAAAAAATACAGACAAAAATTACCTATATTACAATACGGTTAAACAGAAATTCGCTAAAATTTCAGGTACAAACAACACAAAAACTACAATACTAAATTCACAGACTTCTTTCAAACATGAGGGGGGGGGGCATTCTATATTGCTCTTAGGTCAAAAATTTGTGCTATCCTGATATCCAGAGGATAGTGTTCAAAATTCTGTTTTGGAAACCAAGTTTATTTTACTTTTATCCAAATGGGATGTCACATTTTTCTAAAAAGGATCAGCAATCAATGTTTTTTTCGTTTCGTATTTTAATTCATTAAACAGTGCTGTAAGATGTGTCCGGTAGGTATGCATAATAACCTGACACATAGTTGAACTGGAATAATTAAGCAACATGTAAAAATTTTGTCAATAAATTTCAGAGTGAAAAAATTCCTTTCAAGTTTCCGAAAGAAAAGTACCTGACTTTGGGATACGAAAAGCCAACTGGTTGTGTATCCATATTTGGGATACTAGATGACAGGGGGGACACAAAATTCTAAAAACCTAGTATCTATGTGTATACTTAAAAAAAACTTCATTTCAGACCTTGCCATTTCTTGGTCATTTCATAGATCTTTCACTATAGACAAGTTTCCAAAAGAAACTTCCACATTAATCATAAACAAATGAAAGTAAGCCAAAGGTTATGTTGTATCTGACTTTGGGATAAGAAAAGCCAGCTGGTTGTGTATCCATATTTGGGATACTAGATGATAGGGAGGGATACCAAATTCTAGAACCCAAGTACCCATGTGTATACTTAAAAACCCCTAAAATTTCAGACCCTGCTATTTGTTTTAGCGACAGCATATCAACACAAGGATGGCACAAGCAAATTGTTTTTTGGTAGAAGGGGAGGAAGCAAAACAGGTTGAATAGTTAAAGGTTTTTCACAGTTAACATAAAGAGTTCCAGAAAATGCCTTATTGCTCCTTTTAAACAGTAATATGTCATTCAAACATTAACAGGATGCGTATGATTATAAATAGGGGGGAGGGGGCAGACTAACACTTGATGATTTTTGGGGGTCCGGGCAGTGCCCTAGCAGCCCCACAGTTCTGCCATCTCATTAACATGCATAAAATATACAATGTCGAAAGTATAAGTTCCATGGATTAAATTCAATGTTTTTGATAGTTTGACATAAAACAAAGAGAACAGAACATCACAAAGAAGCACTGCATAATGGTTTAAACGGGAAGTATAATTACATGTTTGAAGATGTAGCTGAAGATGAAATTGAGGGTGAGAGATGATTCTTAAAGAGGTGAATGATTCAGGAGGGGTGTGAAATTTGACGTTTGGCAAGTGGGACCTCCTGCACCCGGATAATGAACCTACCTATTTCGGTCCCACGACCCAATGTAAACGACAGTCCAAAACCACAAAGCTTGTCATGGCGGTCAGTCTTCACAACGACATATGCACCGGAATAATCCGGGTCTTTGTGCTGTAAACGGGCAAGACGAAAGGATGGGCTGGTTTATAAAATCACGTGATGATAATTACTGATAAATTATTTCAAACAACGTGGGAAGAATTGAAAATGCGCCTTACCACTGCATCTGAACCATGAGATCCGAGAGAGGTTGGAAAACGAATGTCACGAACCGTAATGTCGATTATTTTCCCCAAAGACATGCTCAAATAATCTTTCAAAGTCCTCTTCCGCCATCAAAGACAGGACAAAGACCATATAAAGATTATGACAAAGATTGAAATTGAAAGACAATACCATCGTCTCCCGTCGTGACCGCCGACCAGTGGCCGTTGGTGGCCGTTACTAGTCTCGTGGCGGATGTATTTCAGTTGCTATGCAAGAGGTATAACAATGTATATGTATGTACCATTGAGTTCTATAATAACTGGAGCGGCTATCTCAAGCGCGGCCTTAGATATCTGGTGCAGTGAACTCCATATATATATATCTGGAATGATAACTACAATACATTTTATAGATATAAATTGAAGCCAAAGTCCTAGTCTCTTGCGCGGTTTGTACGTCAGTTCCAGTCCTTCAAAGTCGAATATTCACGCGGTTTGTACGTCAGTTTCATTCCCCTGAGTGCCAAACATACACGGCCACTATAAATTTGAATACAAACTGCAAAAGCATAAACATATAAACAACATCAAGACAACACACTACAAACAACACACTAGGCCAACTCTTCGCAAAAGGTTATTTTTACAGCTAAAACTTTACTACAGTGAGTTCGTTGTAACTTACAACTTGTAACGAGGAAAAGCCAACTGAAAATTACACTTTATGCTAAAAAGGCAATACAATAAGAAAATATGACGAGAAAATATTCAAGCATAAATTTTTCTTTCGTCGTAAGGTAAACTTTCAAACGGTGTCAGACAGTGTTTGTCTTTTTTTGTCGTTTCAATGGATTTAAAGATCTGTTTTTCCGAAGAAAAAAGAAACTTGAATATCCAGGTTCATAAAAAATGTTGAGTCTATAAATCGCATTTTACTTTTTACAGAGCGATTGTATCTTTCATCGATTTTGATAGTGCTTGAAATACTAAATGGTTGTCATCTCGATATCAGTAATTGAATATCCTTAAAGACTTTGATATGTTTTAAAGGAAAACCGCAGCGTAAAAGCAGATCGACTAAGTTCACCTCACCCTGCTTCTCGATTTATCACTTTGATTCACTTTCCGTGAACCTTTTCATTCCAAAAATTTCGTTATTTTTACGCTCTGATCAAGATCCGAACTCTACCATTACCAAGGGACAAATGATTTAAAAAAATTAAAATGAACACGCGAGAGACTAGAGCCTGACGTGTGATGACGAATGATGACGACAAATATTTTTTTGGCTTCAATTTTTGGCTTCGGTTATCATTCCAGTTATTCAAATGTCGAGTTCACTGATCTGGTGACGCCAAAAAAATGGCGGATTTCGTCCGTTGCCGCTGAGATTTACCGAAATTGACCGCTTTTCCGAAAATTTCACAATTTCCCACTCCCTCCTGAGGAAAGAGTGAGGTAAATGTATGTGTGTATTTGGGATTCGGCAAGCAATTTTTTGATGAAAATCACGATAAAAACCTACAATTCGTAACAGCGAGTCAACCTAGCTTTCCAGTTATCGGCTCCTACGAGGATGTATTTATAACTATCGACGAAAGAGCTATATGTCGGCTACACATCTATGAATGCAGATATGCGTCGTTTTCTTACCAGCGTCAAACTTGTTTGATCGATTAAACTCTTTAGTCTATACAAAAAAGTATATCATAGTTCATCTCCACAGTGGTTCACGAGAGAGAAGTTAGCTTATTTTTTATCATTGCTATTTTGCTTCTTTTACTTGTTTCTTTAAAAAGTAAATATTAAATCTCTGGATATTTACGTATTTTCTGTAATTGAGTTTCATATTAAATTTCAAAAGACTCAAGTCTGCATAGGTTTGGTAAATGAAAACAAACAATATTGTATAGAAATTACTTTAAGTAACCTTTTTGTGATGTTCTGAAGTGCAACTGCATCAAATACTTGTAAAGTTGTAGCACATTTTGATTTTGTTTTATTGATATATAAATTGGGCAAAATGCAAATAATCATCAAAACACTTATGCTTCCAATGGTGTTTATAATTCATTTTTAGTTTTAATACTTCTACCCTTCTTTTTCACTTTGTTTTGTTTTTCCTATATTTTCAATATAAGTGCACAATTTGAATGATTAAAACAGTTTTCACTTCAATAATAAATTTCATAAGCAGTTGGTAGTGCACTTTGTTCTCTGAGTATCCACATTTGGTGTTTTCTTCATACATGAATGATGAAATGCATATGGATATGTCATAACAAGGCAATAAAACCAAATGAATTAAATACCTATAGTGTACTTTTATGCTAGAAGCTTAACAGCTTTCTAGAAATTATAAAGTTATTGGATTATATTACCTCTATATCATCAATCTCATGAAAAGAAATAAGAAGCAAAATATTTGTAGAAAAGCTTTGAAAAGTGAAAACATTTATTTAAAAAGCAGCAATGATGCATATGATAAATCCCCATTCTGTACTCTAATAGGTAAATAAGCTCAAACTGTTTCTTAAAGAAATATAAGAAATATATAAGAAATATACAGTACAGTAAATTTAAAGGTTTCATCACTGAATCTTTAATGCTTCAGTATAGTGCATTAGATATTAGTAACATTTAAACAACACTCAACTAAAATATTTTGATAAAGATATGCCATGATTTAAACATTATGTTATATAAAACCCAATGGCTTATTCAGTTTAATGCTTCACATCTGCATCAAGTCATCATCAATCTCAGTACAAATGTTTACATAGACACAAACTTTATGGCCTTTCCATTTTATATGTTGTCATATAATTGACATTTAATTAAGCATCAAAAACACACAACCTTCTTGCCATCTTTTTTTGGTTCATGAACTTCAACTTCAAAGCATTCAAGGCATCATTAGTGAATCCATTGTCTCCATCCATAGAATTTGACCATGATCAAATTAAATAACTCTGGATAAGGCAGACAATAAATCAATTATCTTTACAGCATTATCATTTTTTTAAGACTCTGCCTGATCAATAACATCTTCCAGTCATCTTTACTTCTTGGTCTTCCCTGCATGTTGTCAGCAAATACAACATAACAAGCTCTGCTCCAAATCATGGGTACTGTTGGGGCTGATCATTTCTTCTTGATACTTTTCACAGAGCAAAATGTGTGCAGGGTCTTTTTGCTTTAGGGAAACTATTTTGCAAATAGATAGGTAAATTTACGATTTCATGCATTAACAAATGACAGAAAAGTATGCAGAAATTTATAGACAAAAACAGGAAAACATCAGTATATTTGGCGTTCAAGTCAGTCTTAAAAAATACGATCTTTAATATGTATTTTATGGCTTTTCAAGTGCATGTATAATTGCTTTTCAATCGTTGACGGACTAACAAAACAAACAACTACCTCACCTGTGAGAAGCGATATGTTCCTTTTTGTGGAAACTACGACATCCAACAATTGAACGATTGAAGTGTTGGCATTATAAAAGAAATGCCAAAAGAATCGTCACAGAATATGGAACTAACGATATCCATATTCTGTGATATCGTGTTTGTTTTGAAAAATTCTTTATAATTTACTATAGACACCAGGGGGAGGTCGAGAATATTATTTTTCTGCAAAGCGATCATTTCAGCGGAAATACGTCCGTTGGCCGCCATTTTTTTGGCGACCTCGCCCCAGTAAAGATAGCCGCTCCAGTTATTATAGAACTCAATGGTATGTACTGCGTAAAAGCACTATTGATATTGCGCGTTCAATAAAAACGACAATTTTTTTTAAAATAGACATGTTTCGACATATATATGTCCCATACGTATATATGTGTCCCATACGTATCCCATATATATGTATATGTATGTCCCATACGTCCCCGGGCGACAATTAGTGCAAGTTATTTAGATTTAGGTGTTGTAGTGCTACCTCGATAAAAATAATGCAAAAAAATTAAGACAAAGTAACATGAACAAACAGAAAACCACTGCGCTGAATAACGTCAGTCGGTACCATTGAACTAAAATACAAGGAACGCTACCTGTAATAGAAAAGACTAGTAATTTTTTGAAGCCAAATTTAACACCCAGACACGCGAGATTACATTCAGACACGCGCGTGTAGTTCAATCAATTATTACTCCGCGAGAGAATCTCGAAACGCTACACACGCGTGTCTGGGTGTATGACTTGGCTTCAATTATTTGCTGCAGATAGCGTTCCATGTATTTTTAGTTCAGTGGTGATTACCATGACGACAGCCAGGAGCACCTCGAGCTTGGCTGACTGCCATAAGTAATCTCGTCAAAAACACACCAAAATACCGCACGGCGCAAAGTGATCCTACTATTCATTCATTCATTATACTGCGATTAAGAGGAGAGAACTCTTTCCAAAAATTGTGAAATAAGTTTCGCCATTTCTCTGGGTTTGTCCAACGTCAAAGCGTGACCGCATTCCTTCAAAATATGAACTTCGACATCTTTGACGCGTTCTTTAATGACGTCACTTCCTGAGACGTGTAACACCTAAAAAGACAAAAGGTTCTCCATATGATCTTTCGGATCCTAACACCCCCCCCGGCTATGAAACGTTTAGCGAGTTGGTGTGCAATAACAGCACGACATCACAGGGGTGTGTGAGTAAACAAGTTCACTTTCTTTCGCTCGGCAGTTTAATTCGCCTTTTTTCTGCTTATTCGGAATTGAAACGGAGATAGACCTTAGTGAAAACGTACTTCCGAAGAAAACTACAAACTCAGAGACCTATTTACGCAAATTTCATCGCAGCTCAAAAAAAAATTTATGAAATAAAAACCTCGTCATTTTCACCCCACAGACACAACATTGGACATTTGATATCCTCGAGGAGACCATCCAGCAACAAATATTCCTCTTCGGAGTTCATATCTCTCAGAGCTGAAAATATTAAACTGTTATAATTTTCTGCTTTTCACAAGTCAATGGCGACAAACGAGGAGAAAAGAGACCGCAAAATATGACATTACGCGCGAATTGCGTGGCATCAGACAGATAGAAAAAATACCGTATTGCCTTTCGCAATTGACTTGTATTGACTCTGGAAAACTTTGTTGTGCAGTGTCTTCATCGGTAAATCAAAAAAGAAGGATGGATATCCTCGAAAACCACGTTACCAGGTAAGATTACGCCGAAAAAACCCAATAGTTTACAACGAAAGTCGAAAAAAATTTGAAACATTATATCAACAAGTCATTAGCGCACCTGATTTTTAAATCAACCGTTATCAAATACATCGACGCCTATTCTTAAAACCTTTACACAGTTTCCCGCTCATTCAGAGCGGAAAGTGAACTTTACGAGCTACACAGAATGGAGAATTCTACCTTTCTTGTACATATCAGCGTTCCTTTGTTTTATTTCGACATAGCCACGAGCGATCTGTTTGGGAATATTTACTTTGCGATAGGCAACCAAACGCATTATCTTTTGAAAATCTTCCACTATAGTTGGTATCAAAACGTTATCAAAAACGCCATTGATGACGTTCTCGTGGCTTTTTTGGAGAAATTCGGTAAAAATCGGAGACCGTATGCCACTGGGACAAGTAGCGACAACGGAGGATAGATTTTCGTCGCCATACTTTGCCGCATAAGATCCCACAATACACCCACCAAGCGAGGAACCAATAAGATGAAATCTTCTATCGCCCACACCAAAGGCTTTGATAAACTGGGGAGACAAAGCTCAAATCAACATCACTATGAATGACAATGTAGAGCGAAAGTCTTGAACTATCAAAAGAGTGTTTTCATCAGTCGCCATGTTGGGCGAAAATCGTATATGATGAAAAAAATTTATGTTGATTTCATCGTCTGTTGAGCATGGGCAATTTGATTTAATTCCCCAACATGGCTGTTTTGACGTCACATGCAAACACTCCATAATAGAGCCATAGCTAGAATGTTAAATGGAGGGTTATTCATATATTCAATGAGCGCCAGACTGACTTCTTTTGAAAGTGATTTGGTTTTCTGAAGAAATCAGTCGGGCGCAACTGAATATATGAATATACATCTCCCTCCAAAGTAAAATTCTAGTTCAGCCCTTTCATCGAATGACAAGTCTTCCCCTAGCTTTTTTCTTGACTCATTGTTCCCAGTAAAAGAATAATCAATCAATGAAAAGTCACAAAAAGTAGCAGTATTTTGGCACCTCATGTAGATAATCCACAAAAGCTGATGGACTGTACATTGCCGTTTTGTCTCTAGGTGTGGATTCACCATGGCCGGGAAGGTCGATTAAAACCATGTGGAACATTGATGGCAACAGACTAGATACTTCACAAAAGAATTCCTTATCGCTTGTAAAACCATGAACAAATATCAACAAAGGACTGTTGGTCGATGACTTTCTTTCCAAATATGAAATTTTCAGAGCATCTGTGACCTTTAAGGAACGTTTAACCAAGCCTGCACGCTTCATTCTGCACCTGGAAAAGAAGAACTACGTCAATGCGTGGAAAAAATGTCGCTACCGGTGTTTTGCTGGTTAAATTTCGTCATTCTATATTGATATGAACAAATTAATTTACACAAAACAGATTAATCGAAAAAGCTTCGACGAAGATGATCCGTATGTATACTGTAAATAAATACAAATGCTTATTAGTGTTTCAGAACTGAAGATTCGACCGAAGACGTTACACGGGGCAGAAAGAAATACATTTATAGTTTATAATTACCAATTTATAAGATAGATAAGCCAAACAGGACGAAGAAAATAAACACAAGCAAAAGCCAGCGCTGTTAAAACGAATGCAATAAATATAAAAAACAAGATATCAAATAAAAGTTGAATCACAAACATGATTTATTGATTATATACAGCGATTTCTTGCTTTTGATTTAAAATAAAATAAAAATATTTCCAAATGAACAATTTATTTACTTAACGAAATTTGTTAAACTTCATGTAAGGAATATTAAAGTGAACAATCCCGCGAGAGCGTTTTTCATCATCAAAGGAAGTAGCTGAAGTCGATTGGATCATTCGTGATGAAGACACCAAACTGGAGTATATAAAAACTCAAGTTTCAACATCAGGTCACTTCTGATGAAGACACTAGACTGGAGTATATAAGGACTCAAGTTTCAACATCAGATCACTCCTGATGAAGACACTAGACTGGAGTATATAAGAACTCAAGTTTCAACATCAGATCACTTCTGATGAAAACACTAGACTGGAGTATATAAGAACTCAAGTTTCAACATCAGATCACTCCTGATGAAGATACTAAACTGGAGTATATAAGAACTCAAGTTTCAACATCAGATCACTCCTGATGAAGATACTAGACTGGAGTATATAAGGACTCAAGTTTCAACATCAGATCACTCCTGATGAAGACACTAGACTGGAGTATGTAAGAACTCAAGATTCAACATTAGATCACTCTTGATGAAGACACTAGACTGGAGTATATAAGAACTCAAGTTTCAACATCAGATCACTCCTGATGAAGACACTAGACTGGAGTATATAAAACTCAAGTTTCAACATCAGATCACTTCTGATGAAGACACTAGACTGGAGTATGTAAGGACTCAAGTTTCAACATCAGATCACTCCTGATGAAGACACTAGACTGGAGTATATAAGAACTCAAGTTTCAACATCAGATCACTCCTGATGAAGACACTAGACTGGAGTATATAAGGACTCAAGTTTCAACATGAGATCACTCCTGATGAAGACACTAGACTGGAGTATATAAGAACTCAAGTTTCAACATCAGATCACTCCTGATGAAGACACTAGACTGGAGTATATAAGAACTCAAGTTTCAACATCAGATCACTCCTGATGAAGACACTAGACTGGAGTATATAAAAACTCAAGTTTCAACATCAGATCACTTCTGATGAAGACACTAGACTGGAGTATGTAAGGACTCAAGTTTCAACATGAGATCACTCCTGATGAAGACACTAGACTGGAGTATATAAGAACTCAAGTTTCAACATCAGATCACTCCTGATGAAGACACTAGACTGGGGTATATAAGGACTCAAGTTTCAACATCAGATCACTCCAAGATAAAAACAATAGACTGCATTAAAGGTCGTCGTTCTAAAATATGTCAGAATTATCATTCATATCAAAGTGCAAATGCAACATGTATGACAATTCCATACGATAACAACAATAACGAACAACATCACCACCAGACAATCTAATAACAAAGTAATTATGAACAATTATCACTAAAAATCATACAAATAACAATATACTTCAGCCTATTTCACTTTTCCCTACTTTACTGTTCTTTCCCGAACGAGCTTGTCGCTTTCGTTTAACGCCTTGAGTTGATTCATTGCCATCTTTTTGATTCCCTTGTCCATCTTTCTTTTGTGCACCGAGCTGTTCGTTCTTACCCTTGAAAGAACACTGGTGTGCTACTTTATCCCCTGTTGTACCCAGTGCTGTGATCTGTGTTTGTTTTCGTGTTCCGTAAACTTTCGTCGGGCCAAACTTCCTTGGGCTTGTTGTTCGTCTTCGGCTTCTTCGTATATCACAAGGTTTGTGTTCTTCATCAGATTTTGTTAAAGTATCATCACAAGTTTTTGCTGTGTCGTTTGATATTTCGTCGTTTATTTGTTCTCCCGACTCGTTTCCTTCTGCATCAGTTGTAGCGAAAGTCGTCATATGCACACCATCTTTATCTTTAAATGAAGTATCCATGTCTCCATTCAAGATCTGAGATGGACAATCATCGTTGATTTCAGTCAATACTTCATCATCTTTTACCTTCCTCGCCTCAGTCCCCAGACTGTGTTCCGCGCTCACGAAGGGTTGCTGTACGTCTATGGTCACATGATTGTCAACATTTCCCTTTTTCAAGTCAGTTCTGGACGAACTGCCAGCATTAATTTCAGTCAGTACTTCATCATCTTTTACCTTCCTCGCCTCAGTCCCCAGACTGTGCTCCGCGCTCACGAAGGGTTGCTGTACGTCTATGGTCACATGATTGTCAACATTTCCCTTTTTCAAGTCAGTTCTGGACGAACTCACAGCATTAATTTCAGTCAGTACTTCATCATCTTTTACCTTCCTCGCCTCAGTCCCCAGACTGTGTTCAGCGCTCAAAAAGGGTTGCTGTACGTCTATGGTCACATGATTGTCAACATTTCCCTTTTTCAAGTCAGTTTTGGACGAACTCCCAGCATTATTTTGCAGCAGCATTATTTTGATTGTTCCATCTAAAATTCCTCCAGATTCGTGTGATGCACCTTTCCCGCCGTCTTGCAAACTTTCTTTTTCGTCATGTACTTTCTCTTGCACCTCTCGCAAATTTTCCGACAAATTCTGTCCCACATTTAAAAAAGCAGTATCCTCAGGTACTTGCATATCGCTGACATCTTTCACGTGAGTAGACACTTGCCCACTCTCAATGTCCTTAGCAACTGTCGTTGTATCCTGATGAGCATCAACCGCTGACCCACTGCCCGCATTGGTCGGTTGATCACTTATAAGATCGCCGCCTCGAAGAATCCCCTGTTCTAAATTTTCATTATTCTGAAGGAATCCATTGTCAAAATGACTTGTTTGCATTTCGTTGCTTTCCATTGGCTGAATAGTGTTCTCTCGAGTCCTCATATGCTCATTGGTATCCACAAAATTTCCTTGTGTACATATACGACTGTTCTCAATGAGGGAGGCGATTTCTTCGGTAATTTTCTTAATATCTCCCGGTGATGTTTCCACTTGAGATGACAAAATATCACCGGATATTGAACGAAGATCAACGGTCGGTGTTTCCACTTGTGACGATTGAATTTCATCGGCGAGCGTAGGAAGATTAGCCGCGGGAAATCTGACTTGATCAGACGAAATGTCGTTGACATAAGGTACATCATGGGATACGGCCAGGGAAACACTTGATGTCACTGTATCAGTGGGTAACTTACCACCAATAATGACGTCAGAGGTAATTTGCTCAACAGTCGCACTGGGTTTATCTGAAAACGATAAAAAAATAGACGCGAAGTTGAAGCCTTGTTTCTGCCGAAATTTTCAATTTAGGAGATTTCAAAATCTAAATTACTGCAAGTCAATAAACCACGAGACCTGTGTTGGAGACAAAAATCTCCAAACCAATTGCTCTCGCTGACAGTAGTGTAGCCAGCCCGCAAGCGTAGGCAGCCCACCAGCGTAGGCAGCCCACCAGCGTAGGCAGCCCGCAAGTTTTGGTCCTGCTATGTAAATGATAGATCATTAACATAATTCGTTTCTTTAGCAATCTTTTGTTTTTACAGTGAGTGAACACAGAAAAATTAACATAACAAGACCAAATTTGCGGGCTGGCTACGTCACTGCTCGCTGAAACTCTTTAAAATGATGCATGTTAAGCAGGTGTCGAGGGTCTTGGCAAGATACAATGACATCATTTATGACGTCAATGCTCGCTGAGACTCTATAAAATGATGCATGTTAAACAGGTGTCAAGGGTCTTGGCAAGATACAATGACATCATTTATGATGTCACTGCTCGCTGAGACTCTATAAAATGATGCATGTTTAACAGGTGTCGAGAGTGTTGGCAAGATACAATGACATCATTTATGACGTCACTGCTCGCTGAGACTCTATAAAATGTTGCATGTTTAACAGGTCGAGGGTCTTGGCTAGATACAATGACATCATTTATGACCAATAAAGAATCAAAGATAGTTTCACAATATACCTTTTTCCTGTTCCGATGTATGTTCCATTTTACCGACCGGTGTTTCAATACCGGACGTTTTATCCGTCATGACTTTGACGCGTTGAATTTGAAGAAAGACCGGACTATTTTGTGGCAAGGTATTACTTGACGGAAGCATCAAGGCAGGAAGTACGTTGACTTCGCTCTGATTGGCTGGGCTGACCGTGGTTGGAATGCTAGACATATTAGAGTTATTTTGCGCAGGTGACGTCAGCACAAATTGCGGTTGGGTTTTAAGAAGCAGCGGTATGGTGGTCAGCGGTTGCTGTGCTGTCATTTTGTCATCGTTGTTTATAGTGGACGCGACCTGTTGAAATGATCGCGTAGCCTCATTTGCACTTTCTGCAGGTTTATTTACATTGTGTGCGGGCTCATTACTCCCTTGAATTTTATTGACGTTATTTATTAACGCCGTCAATGGTGTGAATGTTTTATCTTCATTCAACATTGCAGTCTTTGTGTTCAGATCTTCGGGTGACACGACATTGACCGTGGGCTCACTTTCTTTACTTTGATTCCTTTTCAAATTTAACGCAAGTTTCTTTATGTATTCGCTCGCCATCCCTTCCATTCGCATCTTTTCACCTTGCACGAGTTGTTCACGTGCAACAGTATTATTGGTGACGTGCAACGATGCAGGACTCACGTGTTTAAAGTCGGTATTCATCTGATCACCAGAACTCATTGGATCAACAGGGCTCACTTGAACAATACCACTTTTCACGTGACTAGCTATGGTATTCACATGACCAGGTAAATTGCTTTCGTTACCACTTGAATTCAACACGATCATACCAGTTGGAGTGTTCACGTGACCAACTGGAATGTTCACAAGACCAGAGCTGATGTTCACGTGGCTTGCATTATTAGTAACATTTTCCATAATGTTCACAAGACCTGTTTGACGTGAAGTAAGATTCACAAGACCGGGTTGAAGAAGCACGTGAACAGCACCGCTGTTCACGTGACCAAGGCCCATGTCACCCGATAATGATGAGAGTACGTTGGTTGCCGTATCTTGAGCAGCGGTTTCTGGTGAAGTCACTTTACGGTGAATGGCTTTTAAGGTAGTGCTTGAAACAGATCCATCCACTTTAGGATTACTTTTCCCCGTATTCAAGCCACGAGGATCGACGACCGCTGAATTTGACGTTTTGTTTTCAATGTCTATTTTAATTGCCTGTTTCTTATACGGTAAACAACGTCGGCAAATCTTTATGCGATTCATTCCAGGAGAAAAAAGATGCAGAAGTTTTGCCGGAGCCGTCTCGCGCTTGAAACAGCCGTACGACTTTTGCACGTGATGGCCGCACAATGTGCACGTGACACCAACGGTTCGCCCCCAGGCATTCATACGAGTGACAGGATCAACACCTAAAATATATAAAATATATAAATAAATGATTTGTATTGGATGCTTAATAGTCACGTGACGTAGGTGTCATGTCATTATTGGCTGCTCAACAGTCACGTGACTTGCGAGCTGTAATCTTATTGGTCAACTAACACTCACCATTTTTTCCTTCTCGTCTTAATCTTTCCTTTAGTTCTCTCTTCATTTGTTGGATTTCCCGCTGCCTGTTGGCAAACTTGATGGATTCTTCATGCGGGATCTTAAGTTTCTTCACACGCACTTGTTGAGGTCCGTCCGTTTTCACCTTCGCATTGGGAGCCACAGCTGTGCCAGCAGTCTCTTTGGTCAGCGGGGCTTTGGTCATGGATACCTCGGTAACTCTTTCTTTTCTCATTTGCCGAACCTTTTTTGGTTTGCGGGGAGCTCTCTTATCTATTTTCTTAGGCGGGGCCTTGTTGGTGACATCATCACTGACTTTTCCTCCTTGTGGTAGTATGTGAGTGTGTTTGGTTTTATTAACACTGTCGCCAAGATTACCCTGACCAAGGTTAACATTGGAAGGTGTCTTTTTGGGACTCTGGTTTACAACATCCGGAGCAGGTCCCATCTCTACATGTGGTATGGTAGGTTCTGCCGAGGGTACTTCAACATTTGATTGGTTAATGCAAGTGTCAAGTGCTTCGGTCAAAGCTTTCTTCATATCGCCAAATGATATAGAACTGTTGTACGTTGACAGACTCTTGACTGAGACAAATTCACCTTTGTGATATTTCATAACAGTGACTAGATTACTTGACTTTGAAACAAAAGAAGTCAGATTTAAGAAGTTTTCCTTCAAAGGTGCATCAAACTTTCCATTGTCCTCAGCTTTATCTTCAGTTATTGCTCTGACCACTGGAAGAACATCGTGTTTGGCAGGAGAGGATGCTGGGAATGGAATATCATCAACTGTGGACTTCAGCTCTGCTTTGTTCTCTAAATGGACATAATAATTGATGTTTGATATTGTTGCTGACCACAACTATTGTTGGCTCAATCAATAATTGCAACAACTTTGTTATGGAATAATTGATGAAGATGCTATTAAAGATCAAAATAAACATGGACTTCACATTGACTGCACCCCCCATCGGAAATTTGGATATAGTACGCGTTGTCTACTCCCCCCCTGGAATGGAACAATAACACACTAAGTTAGTATACCTTTATCGGTTTTGTTGAGACTGCGTCCATCAACAAAGGTATTTTCACGATCAATTGACTTCTTCCTTGAATTTAAAGAACAGTTTTCATAACTCAATTTAGCTTCAATAAACATTCGCACCTTTCATCGAATTTAAATGATAAAACTCGAGTCACCTTGATGGAGCAGCTGGCGGCTTGACGTTTAACACGCAAGACATGGAATTAAGTCGAAGAAACTCACTAAAAAAAACACGAGAAAAGCAAGTCAACTTAGCTTGCAAAGGAATTCGTGAATAATGACTTGCCTTTTAGTCAAGGTGAATTTAATTTGCAAAGAAAAGAAATTTAATTTCGTGAACTGCGTGTGAAAAAAAGCACGCTTGATTTTCGCATTTGTGCAGCAGAAATTCTGTCCATTTTGATATGTTTAGAATAGGTCTCCATGATAACCATTTGTTTGATGTTAGCATAAATATATTTATGGAGACTTTGACAGTAAAAAATACTTCCTGAATTAGTTGAATTTGAAAAGTTTTTCCGCGTCCATCAAACGAAGTTTGTTTCAACGAGGCAGTTGAAAAGCGGATGGCAACATAATGAGATTTGATAGAATTTTTGATACTTAAATTGAAAAAGTCAATAAAGAGGAATTGAATTGCAAGCAAACAAAAGTTGTATTGAACAGCACAAAGAACTAGCGACGCTGGGAGTCGCGAGGCGTATCGTAAACTCAACGTTAAACAATATTTCAAGTGAGAAAATTACAATATTAGCCCAGCAATCATCTGCAATACAAGACTAATGGATTTGTTGTTGATTTCGAAATAAACACGAGTGTATTGAAGGCTGGTCGGTGGAAAAAATCGAAATAGTTGAAGTGAATTCTTTATATCGAAATTTGCATCTCGACGGAATATATTAGAGAGGGAGCCGGTATTATTTTGTATGGAAAAATAGCCATTCCCCAAGAGTTTTTCAACTCAATTCTGTGTATTCCACCGACTTAAACAAGTTCATATTAAATACATGTTTGCAATAAAAGAAAAATATCTTAAATTCACTTTTATTTCGAGTTATAAACGTTGGGCAAACGCATTCAAAATGAATATTCAAAGCAGCGTCATTGCGTTTGATTAAAACGCAAAACATGTCGACGATGTTTTAGTTTCCGATGCGTTTTTCATGAATTTTTCTGACAATTGCGCTGTTTTTTTTGCATTTACTTTCTGGATGCCAAAACAGCGAAGTATTTTCGGCGACAGGTTGTCTAAAATATGTTCGGGTTGTCGTATAAACGGTTCAAAAATCGATGGCAAAATATGACAATGAGTAAACTCTACATAAGATCTGGAATTAATACGTCAATCACAAGTGAAGCTGAACAGAAAGGTTCATCTTCATCTGCAATCACAAACAAACTTTTCTAAGGCTGTATGCTTTTGAAGTGTAGAGAAGGGATCTAGATAGGCACGAAAAATATGAGAAATTTAAAATTAACATGGCTGATTGCGCGCCACGCAAAATGAAAACCTTAAATGTTAGGTGTCGACTTTCTTTTGGAAAGATAAACTTTCTGCACGATAAAAATGACTAAAAACTTCGAGCACCTATTTCACAATGCTCAAAGATAGTCAGCACAAAACAGGTTATAACTTAAGATGAAGGTAACAATCGAAATAATATTGGGTTGCTAAACCACGCTACACATCGTACGAAACGAAACAAAAATATTTGTGTTTTCTTATGACAAAAATAAAGCATGAACGAGCGCCTCTTCGAACGGAGGTTACGAAAAATAAGTACGTACCTTTTCGAACCAACTTAGCCAAAGAAACTCGTCGATTTTCGCCACCAAACACCAAACTATGGCCGTCTATCAAGTTTAAAGCAAAGCGCCCGTGAATCTGTAAACGAATGACGACTTTGAATAAATCTACATAAAATTTGCACACAAATAGTAAATAGTAGCTCGCACGCATCTGGTGACAAAGAAAACTTTGCCTGATTACTCTAAATGCACAAGCTGTTTTTCAGCAGATAAAAGCGTATTCCTTCAATCCTCCCGAGGGGACCTTTTAGATAAAGATACATTTTGATAAAAGTCTAAGGCATTTTTTCTTTGCTTTCAAGTCAAGACTAAAATCGCTACATTTATTATCATCAAACTACTTATCATTAGTCGTGTTTTATCAATGCATAATAGGTAAGAGTCGGATAAAAGCACTAGACCCAACTGAATTTGCCTTGACACAATCAACTAGCATATTTGATAAATAAATAGCCTAGTGCGATTGACTCATAAATCAATTTTTAGATGAGCGCATTAAATAAGCAAATTGTAAAAATACATTTGACGCACGAGTTGCAAATCATGAGATGCACAAAAACATCTTGTAATCTTTGCACAAATGCGCTTGTAGAGAATTATTTCTTTCTGAAACACGCAAATTGGCTATTGGTCCGATTCTAAAGCGGTTTTAAGCGCAATTTAATACATAAACTAAAACATATTGTTTGTTCTTAAAATGTCTGTATTAATTCAACATGCCCTTTCAAATGTCTGTATTAATTTGACATGCCTTTTCATGCGCACTGAATTTAATGTAGGAAGTTTTGAGTAAATTAATAGGATTCTTTCCGGAAATAGTAATCTCTTTGTTTATTCACTGCTTTATCCTCAATTTGCGCTAGCCAAAGAGAAACCTGTATTACTTTCATACAAATGACAATAACTCTTATAAACAAGCATCACATTAAACAATGTCCGATGTAAATATACTTGCATAATATATTATTTGCGCGCTGTAAAATCAAACTGGAAGCTATCTCGTTTTAAACGTCGCTGAATGAAGTCCGTGTTCGAGAAATTCGATCAAATTCGAACACATAAAGTAGCATTATGACGAAAAAAAAGAAATCTCCGAAAATTGATGTGTTTGACAGGCGCGCAAATTCAACTTCAACAACAAAGTCAAAATATATAAGCTTAATTCTTACCAATTAAATTCTGCTCCTCAAATCTCATGAAGTCGGCCAAACATTGGACAAGTCTGAACAAATAAACACGATGAACAAAACGACGCGTAAATAAAACCAAGTTTGAACCTATTTACTTTTCAATACTTCGTCTCAATCAAAGAGAAGATTAAATCCACGAGATAACGTCATGAAGTCAACGGTTTAGCATCAAATTTATGAAAAGCCGAGCTATCTACAGCTGCTACACAAAAAGAAATAATGTATTTCGAAAAGCACGTGAGATGTACGTTAAAAAATATTTTTATTTACAAAAGTCTATAAAAAAATGCTGAAGTCAGCTACGAAATATTTACAAAAACTGCCGACTGGAAGAAAATCCTCAGTTTTCAAAGTTGAAAGAATTTCTTTTCGTGGGACGTGTAAAGCTTTTCTTGACAAGAAATCGTCACTTAACGACTTAACTACCCTTTCCTTCAGGCAACAGTTTAAAAATTTAAATCGAACTCAAGTTTATGCGTTGCTGTTTGCTGTGTGCTTGCCATCACGTTACTCTTCTGGTATTCACCGACTCGTTTTTCGAAAAAGTTCGTTTTCCCTGTGAGCGATATAAGCTCCATGAAGTCAAACGGATTCTCCGATCTGTATATCTACAAAAAACAGGGATAGAATGTAAACTGTACTGCATTCATTTCTTTTCGCACATTGTGTACACAAGAGTGATGAAAAAATCTAAATTATTATCAAAAAAATACATGGTCACACAAAGAGTTGATCTGCTCTCACTCCAGTTAAACAAGATCAGGGTTTTTACGAAGTTTTTGGTAGCACAATAGTTTCATAAAGTTTAAAATTGACTAAAAATTAACTTTTCAGTGAACTGGGGCACCAGAACTTCTTGCTATAAAGGTGGTTGGATTCCAGGTAAATAGAGATGAAGATTAATTAGAAAACTTTTTACCTTTGAGTAGCCTAGAGCGACAAGAAGTCTGTCAGCCACAAACTCGATGTAGGTTTTCATAAGTTCTTCATTCATTCCTATCAATCTAACAGGCAACGCGTCGGTAAGAAATTCTTGTTCGATTTTCACCGCGTCTTCAATGATCTTTCTCACTCGTTCCGCTGACGGCTTGTCTTTTAAATGATGGTACATCAAGCAAGCAAAATCACAATGAAGTCCCTGAAACATTGTTATATTTATAACCAACCAATCAAAACAGATGATAATATAAAAGCAACCAATCAAAACAGATGATAATATAAAAGCAACCAATCAAAACAGATGATAAAATAAAAGCAACCAATCAAAACAGATGATAAAATAAAAGCAACCAATCAAAACAGATGATAAAATAAAAGCAACCAATCAAAACAGATGATAAAATAAAAGCAACCAATCAAAACAGATGATAAAATAAAAGCAACCAATCAAAACAGATGACAAAATAAAAGCAACCAATCAAAACAGATGATAAAATAAAAGCAACCAATCAACAAAACAGATGACAAAATAAAAGCAACCAATCAAAACAGATGATAAAATAAAAGCAACCAATCAAAACAGATGATAAAAGAAAACCAACCAATCAAAACACACGTAGGCATTACCTCGTCTCGACTTATAAGTTCGTTTGAAAACGTAAGACCAGGCATCAAATTTCGTTTTTTCAACCAGAAAATCGAAGCAAAAGATCCAGAGAAAAATATTCCTTCGACAGCAGCAAATGCCACGATTCGTTCACCAAAAGAAGCCTGTATTGGAATAATGTCATACCTGAGCCTTTATTGAAATAATGTTGACTGCTGACCAGTTAAATCACATGACTTACCTTATCGGGATTGATCCAATCAAGTGCCCAGTCTGCCTTCTTTTTCACACATGGTAAATGTTCAATAGCATTAAATAACCTTTCTCGTTCACTTGGTTCTTTGATGTAGGTGTCTATCAACAGGCTGTACATTTCAGAATGAATGTTCTCCATTGCTATTTGAAAGCCGTAAAAACATCGAGCTTCTGTAACCTGTACTTCTTGCATGAAGCACTCGACCAGGTTTTCGTTCACAATGCCATCACTGGCAGCGAAAAATGCCAAAATGTGTGAGATGAAATGCCTTTCCTCTGGCTGGTTGTAGTTGAATAAAAAGAAATGAGATTGGTTGGTTTAGTTAGCCAAGTAATTGACATTTGATAACAGCCAATGAAAATGTTCCATTGTTGATGGAAATATTTTAGCTTTCTCTACTACTTTCTGATTTAAGACTCTTTGTTCCATTTTTATTACCACACATAAAGTACAAAAGTAAGTTTATTGTTTCACCTTCAAACTCCTCCAGTGGACGAGATCACGTGACAAATCAACTTCCTCCGCAGTCCAAAAGGATGCTAAAGAAAGAGGATGTCTCAAAATAAGTTTTTAAATCCTTTGAAAAGTGTGTTTACATGACATTTCTTCTTCAATACGGTGAAAAACTATTTCAACAAACCTTCAGCTTTCTTATACATTTTCCACATATCATGATATTGAATTGGAAATGTGACAAATCTTCTTGGGTTCTCACGAAGCAGTGGTTCTTCCTGATGACGTAGTTTGTTCTCCACCTTTGCAGTAGTTGAAGAATTTTTTAGCCAATGTTAAATTATATTCATACTAAGAATTTGTTTTCTGCCTGGCAAATCCACAGTTACAATCAATAAGGGAACATGAATAGCAATGACATAGCCAGCTCGATATTTTTTTTCGTTGTGTGTGTGGTGGGGAGCCAATATGCACATATATTTATGATTAGCAATATATATATATAGATCATAAGAGACAATGATTTGGCTAATTGCCATTGGCTTTTAGAGAACCACATTTTGAATTTTTCAAATCAAATTGAAATCCTTAAAACGATTTCATTCTTAATTAAATATCAATGGTTTATTATTTATAGAAAAAAGGCTGAAGTCAGCATCAAAAGAGCTCAGTGAACGACCATGAACGACCAGTAATGTGAACAAAGAATAGGCGCCAAATTTGAACAACGGCGCCCTCAAAGATCAACGAAATATCATACGAATTCGACTAATCGAAATATTCAGTCGGTTTGGTTTCTTCTCGCAGTAAAAAAACTCAACAAAGTGACCGAATATCATAAGTTAAATGACAGAAATAGCTTACAGCTAGGCAAGCCATAGCATAGGCAGGCATGAGCCATGCCACGTCTTCTATAGCAATAAAACTTTTGAACACTGTATTGTCCTCATTTATACACACGAAACAACCAGCTACGTTGTTCAGATTTATATTAGGACTCTACTTCGGAGATGAAATCGAAAATCCAGCAATTTCAAAAGGAGCATCGCTGTAAAGATTACATGACTTACATTGTCGTCTGTATCCTTGATGTTGGTCCGTTTCACTTTCGTGTTGATTTCTTGAATGTTTTTCTTATTTATATACTTCTTAGTGGCAAGGGCAAGCATTTTACTCTCAAGAGAAGTCGTAAATGAAATCTAGTTAAAGATTACAAAAATACTAAGAGATATATCGTTCATGCAGTGTGGGATGTGAATACCTAACACCTTATTCCATCGATCTTTTGCATACAATTTCAAGTTTTCGCGGCATTCTACCACTTCAACCAATCATATTGGAGGAGAACGAGTTTCACATCTATGATTGGCTCTCGCTATTGACCTTGGCGCTCAAATAAACATAACAATTAATGTTGTCCGAGGAACCACAGGAAGAACGAGTACGAGTTTACTTTTAGCCCACTGTAATATTGGTCAGTGCATGAAATTTTAAACATATTTTTTACACAACCATTGAATATCAAAGAAAATATCCTCAAAACGTAAGTTCTGGTTCAAATACATTGGTTATACATGTTAATTCTTAAATATTTTACGTAAAAGTACTGTTATTTGTGTAGAAAATGTCTCAAAAAGTTAGCAACGACGGCGATTATGGACGCTGTTATCAGTTTTGGCAAGACTTAGTCGACTGTTTCGCCGAACACGGACGATATGGCCAGCAGAAAAAATGTATTCAACAAAAAGAAGATTATGATGAATGTCTGCATCACAGAAAACTGGTATGCATTGCATTTATACTTGTTATATGCCTTATGGGAATCTAAATCCTACTAGTCTGTTTAATCCAATTCTGTCTCAATCTTATCCCAATCCAACGTAAATCATATCTGAATGTAATCTTTATCTGTCCCTGTAGTTTAGGCAAGTTTTAATCAAGATATTTTATTTATACAGTTAACAAGACTGGAACGGATACATCTAGAGAAGGAGAGATTGATAAAAGAAGGAAAGTGGCCTTCATGAACTTCTCACACATAAATCTTTGCAAAAACATAAATATATTTTATAAAAAAAGACACATAATTTTGTGTTACATATGCATGTGCTTTGCTGAGATTATATATGATACATTGTCTTCATAACTCCATTTTCTCTAGTAAAATTGTTATGTAAAAAGAATTTGGTGGATTTCTTCATAATGAAAATAAAAATGCTAATTACGGCATGGGTTTGCGGTTACAATAAAAACATTTACAACAAGGTAAAATCAGATTAACCCTCAAGTTAACTGCGGAATCATTACAACTTTTCCTCATCACTGATCGACAACGATTTGCTTCTGAAACTTGTGTTCGAGTTTATCCTCACACGAGCATTACCATTCACATAAAATATTTCATCATCATCTGCTTTGGATGAATCGTAGCTGATCATACTTGTCCTGTCCATAATTGTCGGTATTTCATCTTTGAGTGTGTTGATCTTCGTACGTAAACTTGTAAACTGTCGCATGAGCAGTTGATCTTGAGATTTCAAAGTTTTCTGAAAGGAATAAATTGACAAGTCAGGCATAAACAGGAAATGAAGCATATGGACACCTATATGTTTCTCGAGAATTCTTTGTTTGCTTCGTACAGTTAAATGTATCCAAACGCTAAGAGCTTCAATATAGAACTCTAAGTCTAAATATCTCTCACATAAATTAACACGAATACCACGACATCATATAAATTATGGTCATGTTTGCATTGAAAATGAATTGTTCAGCAAAATACTCAATTTTTCACACAGGTATTTGTTACCAATTCATCTCTGACCCATTGCAACGCTTTAAGTAAACTGTCTTCCCTCTCTTGAATAGTCATCCTTTCCCTATCGCCAGAAAAACTAGGAACATTTGGTGAAAGGACCGCCGTTTCGGTAGCCATTTCTTGAGCAACTCACGAGATAGAAAAGGGAAAGTTTTCAAATGATTACTTCGAACGTTAAACAGTTAATAACAACTTCTTTACAGCCAGATATTAGTATTATACATCAGAAAGTATTAAAACCACGAAGAAACATCAGACCTTAACGATATTTATCATTTATCAAGCAATATATTTGACACTTTAATCTTTGACACGATAATTATGCACAAAAATGGGGTCAGTTGGCGGAACTTCGTCGATAATTAGGAAATCGATATTTACAAAGTCAATGACCCATGAAAGAAAAGGAAGTATCTTGATTTCTATCACGGATAATCGGTGACAGAACACGTTAACAAAGCACATTGTTCTGATCTAATTTCTTTCAAACTTCGGGAAGAAATTTAAATGCTTAATTTAATGAACACGAGGTGAAATATAAAGCTAAATGTTCTCGCCAAGGAATGCTTTCCCTATATTCCGATCAACTGAGCTTTAATGTAAACGCACGACGAGAATGAAGGTTTGTAAAATTTGAAATATGAAACACTATATATACGAGAATTGTCCGAAAGAAAAGCAAGATTGTTTAATTAATGTCATATAAACGCGCTAAACAGCTCGTTACCATATTTTGCGCATCACCGCACAGTGTGATAATAATAATTTCTTCATTGATTATTGATATCATAATTAATTGCATAAACAATAGCGAAATAAAATGGCTAAAAACTAGCTAAAGGATCACATTAAATACATTAGCTGGGTACAAATATCGAATGAATATAAATACATTATCCCCCAAATAGTGAAATATGTACAAACTAGATCTACATTTCCAATTCACATTCAAATTTGTTGTGATAAAGATCTCCCACCGCTGCGAAATTGCGTCCAATATTTCCAAAGAATGGCGTCGGCCTTTACCTTATTCTTGCTGTACACATTAAGTGCTATACCAAGTAAGACAATACCACCAGACCATACATAACTGAAGAAAAAAATTGTCTCCTTTAGGCTAGTTACTTTTTTAAATAATTTTTTTTCATGCAGTTGTGAAAATTTGGATGCTCGGAATGTGGAACGGAAACCAGCGGTGACAATGTTTAACACTTACCGAAATGTAAATGGTTTTGTAAAAAACAAAAAGGATAGGACAATTGTTATGGCTTTACGACAGGTTGTAACTACAAAATACAACAATATTTATGTGGAAATTGTTGTGTTCAAAGCAGACCAACAGTTTTTTCTTATCGTAAACAATAATCATCAAAGAATTAATTTGTATGATTATAAATATGCACAGTGAGATGAACCTCTCAGAAATGATTTTTGAATGTTGCATAAGCAAGAAGACAAGGAAAGACTTGAAAGAATTGAAAAGATTTATGTATGGTGCACAAATCAAATTTAAAACACAAATACCTGTGACAGCTAGCAAAGCACCAAATGATTTAACCAAAGATAAAACAAATGCAATACCAAGATACCCAGTGAATGAAAATACGATTGCAAGGCCATATGTATGAGTCAAATTCTAAAGGGATAAATGGTGAAATTTTAGCTAACAGAATTTTAGAAATTTTAGCCAAAAGAAAATGTTAACAAAAAAGTTTGGCAATTGGTTAAGCATCCGCTACCTGAGCACAGAATTTGAAAGGTTCCCTTAACCCCCCTGAAACAGCCAAACCAGCAAAGATGTAAAAAAAGCCAATACCGTAGGAGTAGAGAATCTGAAGAAAACAAATTAACAAGTTAAGGATTCTGAACAACACATGCATGCAAAGCATTATGGGTAACTGTAAGTTGTGTTCGTACCACTTCAGTATTTGTACTTGAATATTTCTTCATGGTTTTTTCTTGAACATTACCAATCATTGCATCTGCACATAATGCAAGGCTGATGAGTAAAACTCCTGAAAAATAACACCTTTCATTTACATGATTCCAAACATCCCTGAATATCCTTGAACATCCTTAAACATCCCTGAATATCCCTGAATATCCCTGAACATCCTTGAACATCCCTGAATATCCCTGAATATCCCTGAACATCCTTGAACATCCCTGAAAATCCCTGAATATTCCTGAACATCCCTGAACATTCCCAAACATCCCTTAGTAATCCTTAGGTCCTTGACAATGTCTATTGCTATATGCCATTTTTTATCTGAATGATCATAAATTGAATCTGTAAGCCTTTTTCGACCTACCTGTTTGGTCAAACTTTGGTGATATTTGACTGTCAGCCAACGTGAACAGGATCAAACCAATACTCATAAAAATACAAGCGGTAAAATCCAGAACACCGTAATATTTACCTACATGGAACGCACAATCGTAATCAGTTTAACAAAATGTTTTAGAAACTTGTGCAGTAAATCTTTGAAACACCCAAGAAAATAAGCCTAACATAGATCCTCATACATGTTTGTAGATGTAGATCGTCCAGGTTGGTATAGTCCTGAGAAGGACTGTTTTTGTTGTTGTTGACTGACATTTCGACAACCTTAGCGGTCAAATGACTCTGAAGATGACTACCGCTAAGGTTGTTGAAACGTCAGTCAACAACAACAAAAACAGTCCTTCTCAGGACTATACCAACCTGGATTTACAAACATGTCCTTTTCCGGACTATACCAACCTACATTTACAAACATGTAACGATACTCCCGGGTTCAAACCATTTACTTTATAGATCCCAATACTTGGTGTAATAGCCAACTATCCTAACTTTACTAAGGAGGGCAATATAAACACATTCATGTCTTGTGTAGCTACCACTCTTGTATAAAGATATAAAATTGTTTATGAAAGGTTAAATTTTTACCTTGAATCAAAATACCACCAAACATCACAGGAATAAGTTTACAACATTTAAAGATGACCTAAAAACATATGCAAAAACAGATTAATAAAAGTATTTTAATAATCATTTAACTATTTCAACTAATTCAATTTAACTATTTTGTCCCATAAATATTCATTCCATATTGCTTATTTACTCACCTGAGTTGGATAGTTCAGATATCCGAGGGACGTATTTGAAAGTCCCATAGTTGAAACTGTCAGAAATGCCAACAATATATAAGTCTGTAATGGTATTCTAAATATGATACACTACAATCAATCCCATGTAATCCCCGTCAATCCATTGATACTATCATGTATCCATTTGAAAGTCCCATAGTTGAAACAATAAGAAATGCCAACAATATATAAGTCTGTAATGGTATTCTAAATAAGATACACTACAATCAATCCCACGTCAATCCCTGTAAATCCATTGACACTATCATGTATCCAATTACAAGGTATAAACTATAACATCCAGGAAAATTATCACAGTTGATAAGTTTAGAAGAATACACATTCCTAATCTTATCACGGAATTACATTTGATTAAATCAATACTGAATGAAATTCACAGTTAAGATAGAGCAAAGACACTAGGACCGGAAAGTTTGTAAACTGTGCAAACAAGAGTTTGCATGCCCTACTTATGTTTTTACATGTCTGAAATGCAAATGTAATGCACCTTGTCACAATATGATCTTTTTAGCGATGTAGTTGCCATAAATATCATCCTTTTTTAAAATTAGTGCACACTCAACCAAAAATTATGCACCCAAGACCTTGGGTACAGAATACAAGCTTTGCAGTCTGGATTTGTAACTAACTTTCGTTCGTATTCCCGTCGCCAACGACTTTCAGCAATGCCAAAAACTCCATAACATGCAAACTGAACCAAAGTTAGATACCAGCCAAACGATTGAAAACCTTCCAAACTAAAGATTAATTCCTAAAAAAACACCAAGTAACAACTTGACATGTAACGAGGCAACATTTTAAAACAGAGATTTTGTCGTGGGTCGACAAATTTGCATGGTGAATGGCCTGCAACCAAATAAAAACAACGAAACCCAAATTAAAACAGAGAAAAAACTAACTCTTGCTTTTCTCTGGTTAGTTTTTTCTCAATTTTATTTTTGGTTTTGTGATCTTTTTTTGGTTCCATTCACCATAACAATTACTCATTTAAAGTTAACATTTTAGCAGCCCCCCTGTATCGTAACCACATTTAATAACAATCTATATCCACCTATCCAATCGCCACGGGGGGTACACAGGTCACTAGTAAATTTGACCTGTAATTAAAACTCAATATGAAAAAATTATGAAAAAAACAATAGCTGCCATAAAACCTATTACCTGGACGTAACCATAGACTAAATAGAAAAAGAAGACACCACTGACACATATTGTGAGCTGAGTACCACGAGATAAATGGTCGAGAGAGTAGCCCAAAATTACAACTTCCTTTTTAGATGAGATATTTGGCGTATTTAAAGGAGACTTGTTTCCATTGCCGGCTGAATTCCCTACTTTAATACTCGTAAGCTCAATATCCGAGCGGCTCTTCGGTACATTGCCGAGATTTCCAAACATTTTTCAATTATAAAATCAAGCATTTAGCATAATTGTACTTGTGGCATTTCAGGAGGGAAAGTTTAAAAGTATGATTCTTTCTCAGAGGGGGGAAGTTGGGAAGGAGAGCTTTCCCCGACCGGTGAAAAGGACCATTAACCGGAAACCAACTTCGTTCCTAATCACTATAGCAACAGAGCTTTTTAAAATTTACTGAACTACATCAAAATAAACGAAGGTTTTTTTGAGCCTTTTATGAAAGATGGATCGATGATACTTCTGTAGAAGATGGTGAAGATATCCCCCGAACTTATAAAAAAATGTCCGAGTCAAACGAAGAAGAAAAAAAGCGAAACGACGCTCCAATACTTGAAGAGACTTACGCACGTTTTCTTGGCTGAGAGATTTGTCGATGAAATTGTAAGTGAAGAACTCCCCAATAACACAACGAAGCTTCTTAAGCAATATCTAATTTACTGTGAACAGACACTCTTTTCTAAATACCTCAATGGTTCATGACTTTTTAACGCTGTTCGTTTCAGAATAATTTATCGATGTGTCGAAATCTCTCTGTTTTGTATCTTTACGATAACAACATCTGCAAAATAGAAAATCTTGGTTTTGCCGCCAACCTGACGCATCTATACCTGCAGAAAAACAACATAACGAAGATAGAGGGTTTGAGCAACATGAAAAGATTATCGAAATTGTAAGAGAATTGTAAAATCTTATCTTTCGTCTTTGTTTTCACTTCCAAGGCAACATTTCAACGTTTATCGTAATCAAATTTATAGGTATTTGGGTCAGAACTGCATAACTGTGGTCGAGGGTCTTGAGCAACTCGAGGATCTTCGTGAATTTCATATTGAAAACCAACAATTACCAGATGGAGAGAAACTTCTTTTTGATCCAAGATCAATAAGAGCCATTGGGGTAATAATGATGGATGAGAAAAATATCCCTATTAATCCCTATCTATCCCTAACTATCCTTCACTATCCCTATTTATCCCACAAATGGACATGTCAACAAGTTTCAACATCATCTGAGTCATTTCTTATCCACTATGTTCCTCCATTGTCTACCATAGCACATCTTCTTTCATCTCTTCTTATTTCATCTCAACATCACCACAGTCACTATCCCCAAACTCCATTTCATTCCAAGAAACCAACAATCTTTCATTATATTTTTCAGTCGTGTCTAAACGTGATGAACATATCGGGGAACAACATAGATAATCTAGATGATTTACACAGTTTATCCAGCATAATTCAGCTAAATGCTCAGGACAATAACATCACCAGTACAAAGGTCAGTATCACTGGAAAATTACTGCCATTCTAGCTACATTTTAATGAATTTTGAAACAGCTCTGCAGGAAACCAACAAATACAGTTATATGTTTGTAGTTGTAGATTCTCTAGAATAATATCTTTGAGGATCTTTGATGATGTTAGTGTTGACTGACATTTTTACATTCGTAACGGTAGTATTCTTCATAGTCAAGTGAATAAGGAATATGGCTGCCTCTAGTACTGGTAATGATGTCACAAACATCAGTCAACAACAACAAAAACAAAGTGAATGGTTTGAACCCGGGAGTATCGTTACATGTTAGTAGATGTAGATCGTCCAGGTTGGTATAGTCCTGAAAAGGACTGTTTTTGTTGTTGTTGACTGACGTTTCGACAACCTTAGCGGTAGTCATCTTCAGAGTCAAAAACAGTCCTTCTCAGGACTCTACTAACCTGGACGATCTACATCTACAAACATGTAACGATACTTCATGGTTCAAACCATTCGCGACTCAAATCAGAATATGCCGTTTTACAAAATCTCCTTTCTTTACAAACAGGGATTAATGAAAAGTCTAAACAATTGGCCTTCGTTGATCAAGTTAGACCTGACCGGAAATCCTGTTTGTGAAAAGAAGAAATACAGAGATCGTGTGTTTGTGATGTCTAAAACGCTGGGTGAGTTATAGGAATTGAACAGTTTGTGGGCACTTCACAACTTCTGTTTATAAAAAAAGCCTTGTTTACAGACGGTCGTTAACCAGTCCATAAAGCCTGGTTCTCATTAAGTCGCTTGAGTCTTCCGAGACGTTCCGAGTCGTTCCGAGTTTTGTCGTTGTTTTTCAAAACGACTGGGACGACACAAGCTATTGTCCTTCTCATATATTCGTACTAGCGCTACCCGAGAGACTGCTTAATTAATTTTTTCGCGAAACATTTAAAAATGGCAGCTGTTGCTTATCAAAGACAAAGTCTTTTGGCTAGTTATTTGCTTCTTCAAATCTTTTCGCGCCATAAAAAGGTCGCTTGCATTTCTCAACGGTCGTTTCGGTCGTACGGATAGAGCAAAGTTCTATCCAAGCGACCTTAGTCGTTTTAGTCTTGTGAGTCATTTGAGGTCATCCCGTTCGCCTCTAAAATGTTCTCATACAGTCACACGGGTCGTCTGTGAAATTTTGGCACGACTGAAACGACTCGGACGACTATATGTGCACCCGGCTTAACGTGTGACAACGGTGTTTCAAAGCTCGTAGAGATAGACAGTGACCTTTTCACCGTTATACAATTTTCTCATCTTTAGTAATGTTAGATGGAAAGGAAATCAGCGAGACTACGAAGAGATTTCTACTCAACTGGAAGGCAAGCCGCGATGCAAGAAAACGACAACTATTACAAAGACAAAAACGCTCGCAAGAACTGGAAAAAGCCACGTGTTCCGAACCGGAAATGACGTCAATCTATTTCCAAACCGTGCCGCCGTCCTTGCCACAGTTGAACACAGCGTTCGCGGGCTCGTATCCAAGACGAATTTCCTCCGGGACGACATTGGAAAGTTGCACATCTGGAACAAGATCTCAACACACAAGGTAAATGATAAAACTTGGCTATAATAAAAGGACTTTTTCACAAGTTAGAAAAATTTACTATCCAATGGATCACGCTTTCCAAGCTTTGAACAACCTGCCCCTGAATTGTTGCCTAGAACTTTTTTACTAACACTGCTCTCATTTAGAAACTAAAATCTGAGAACTTCCCTGAATTCGTAAATGTTTTTTACGTTTTTTAGATTTCCGAGTATTTTCTCGTCCGAGCAAGATTTGCCATTGTCACGTGGTCAGTCGTGGATTTCGGAAAGCAAAAATCCCAGAGTTCCATTGCAGACGGCGCCGTATTAAAAAGATGCTTATTTTAGATGATAGAAAAATTACTTAAGAATCGTTTGACGAAGTGTATAGAAAATATTACCAGATATTAGAAATAAATTACGAGTTTCTTCGAGTGGATATCTCGCTCGCCACGAACTTTGTTCTTATTTTGAAAAAAAAATGTTTTTATTTCTAACGTTCTTATGAAAAGACGGTCGTCAAATTCTTTGGTTGAGCACGAAAACGTCATGTAAGACGAACCAGTCGTCTCCAGTCAATTCTTTCAAAACGTTGTGGTCGTTTCAATCGTACCTTCGTTCTCAATAACGAACTGTGTTTCGTCCTCAGGCCTCTCTCCATCCAGCTCGTTCCGGAAACAATGTGCCATTACGCCTGCGCAGTAGCAATCTCCCATAACATTAACAGCTGTACGTACGCGATCACTATAAATAGAAAAACAGAATCACAATTTTGAGTTATCGTTGTTCTTTGAAAATTGCCTATTCTACATACTCATAAAGCAGTCTCTTTGCAATTCCATGAAATTATAAAATAAACACAATGAAAGGCGTGCGCTGATTGGTCTAGAGCTGTGTTTGTATTAGCCTGAGCAAAACACATCCGAGCTCAACCAATCAAATCAATAATAACAATCAATCGGTCAAAAGAGAATTTGCAAATCGATCATGAATACATTTTAGAAGAAAAATTAAAACGCTTACTTTAAATTTGTCTGTTTCGCATTATTGCTACTTTATAAAAGAAATAAAAGATGTTTTTCGTGTCTGCACAGGCTTATGCAAACCTGAGAACTCTCGAGCATGTGCAAACCTTGACCGTCGGTCTCGAGCTTGCACTGATCTGCTCTCCAGTTCTCTTAAAGGTCTCCTCGGTTAGCATAAGCCTGTGCAAACACAGTAAACATCTTTTGTTTCTTAATCACAAACCAACTCTAATTAATACTTACAGAAACCATTCAACAGCAAGTGTAGGTCCAATGTCCTCAGTCGGTAAGCCACAAGCTTCCAAAACAATTATAATATAAACAAGACCACCAGCGGGAGTGCCCGCAGCGCCTGTCGATACGAACGTTGCAACAATACTAAACATAGAACAGATAAGTCTATTGAAATGATCAAGTCATACCACCTCATCACAAGTCATACCACCTCATCACAAGTCATACCACCTCATCACAAGTCATACCACCTCATCACAAGTCATACCACCTCATCACAAGTCATACCACCTCATCACAAGTCATACCATCTCATCACAAGTCATACCACCTCATCACAAGTCATACCACCTCATCACAAGTCATACCACCTCATCACAAGTCATACCACCTCATCAAAAGTCATACCACCTCATAACAAGTCATACGACCTCTATCCCCCTTGTAGAAGAGCCTGTCTACATCTTCTATCCCCCCGGGGGGAAAGCCCCCACTCTAATTTTGAAAGACTGAAAATCTTGCACGAAATACCACAATTTACACACACATATATACCTTAACTGTCTTGTTAAATAATAATTATTTTTTAGACGTTGGTGAGAACTCTCCAGCATGTGCAACACTCGACTTCGGTCTCAGGCTTGCACTGATCTGCTCTCGAGTTCTCCCAAAGGTCTCCTCGTGCAAACACTGTAAACATCTTTTATTTCTTAAATAATGTACACATCGCAGCTTATGAATTGAACTGTGTGACTTTTTAAGTGTAAGATTCCTTAAAATATAATTTCTCAAAATTTTGAAAGCATACTGGTAGGCACCACCCAAGATCCCCTAGAAATTTTACGCTTTGAGAACGAACTCCCCCCCCCCTCGCCAATATTGCATAAAGTGTCCGCCAGTGGCACATGCTTAACTCACTTAACAATCTCCATTCAATCCAAAGATTAGTATTAACCACTTTTAAAATCCCCTACTTCATCTTTTTCATTCATTGCAACAGAACTCTTTCATCAATCGACAGTTTAGTCCCCTCCACAACCTACCTCCACAACCTCGTCACAAATCGCTCCGTTAGCCCTATCCACAGCTCACCCACTCAATCCCATTCTCAACTGCAACTTTAACTTCTTACCATCTTACAATATCAATCCACAGCTCACCCACTCAATCCCATTCTCAACTGCAACTTTAACTTCTTACCATCTTACCATATCAATCCACAGCTCACCTACTCAAGCCCATTCTCAACTGCAACTTTAACTTCTTACCATCTTACCATATCAATCCACAGCTCACCTACTCAAGCCCATTCTCAACTGCAACTTTAACTTCTTACCATCTTACCATATCAATCCACAGCTCACCTACTCAATCCCATTCTCAACTGCAACTTTAACTTCTTACCATCTTACCATATCAATCCACAGCTCACCTACTCAAGCCCATTCTCAACTGCAACTTTAACTTCTTACCATCTTACCATATCAATCCACGGCTCACCTACTCAATCCCATTCTCAACTGCAACTTTAACTTCTTACCATCTTACCATATCAATCCACAGCTCACCTACTCAATCCCATTCTCAACTGCAACTTTAACTTCTTACCATCTTACCATATCAATCCATAGCTCACCTACTCAATCCCATTCTCAACTGCAACTTTAACTTCTTACCATCTTACCATATCAATCCACAGCTAACCTACTCAATCCCATTCTCAACTGCAACTTTACCAACTTACCATATCAAAAGAATTCGTCCAAACGTCAGTTCATAATTGTTCAATTGAGCAACATACATGGCGGTAACTGCTTCATATAAAGCACTACCGTCCATATTGAGCGTCGCTCCGAGAGGAAGCACAAATCTCGAGATTTTCGTACTGATTTTGTTATTCTTCTCCATGCTTGAGATGGTCACAGGAAGAGTTGCAGCGCTGTGAATATCATATCGAATAAACAGTTAAGATTGTATATTCATCAGAAGAGCGATTGTTAAATGAAGATCTAAAATGTAAATATCGTAGCATTAAACTCCCGTCTCCCCTAGTGCATTTATCAATTGAGCACCCTCGACTGGAGGAGTTCTTCCCATTTTACAAACTTAAAGGTTGCTCTGAAAAGCGTATTTGTCATGGTGAATGGGCAAAGTAAATGAAAAGGATTATGTCCTTAAATTGTCTCTGCTTTAAACGTCTCTTCCCCGTTTGAAAGTGCTGTCATTCTACCTTTGTTTTTAAAATACATAGAAGTAAACTTTTGGTTTTCATCAAAGCAGACGTGGTACCTTATAAGAAGTCAGCCGAAATGAATCGTATCATTTGATTTTATAGCTATTTTTATTTTGCTTTTAAACAGTTTCTTTAAGAACTACTCAAATGTCATTCATCACGACAAATAAATACGCTTCTCAGAGCAACATTTAATTTTAAACATGAACCCGTCTGACAGTGATACAAAAAAGTATAACTTGCGACGTGTGAATTGTATACAGTTTCAAACCAAACCTTGATGAAGTCCCAAACGCCGTCACCATTGGTGTTATCATTCCAGAAAAGAATTTCAAAGGATTTTTTCGAGTAAAAATGAAATACAAAATAGGATAAAAGATAAAAGCATGAATAACCAATCCAGTGACGCATGTTCCAATGTAAAGAGCCAAGGACTTGAAGACACCAGTAATATCGACCGCATTAACCATGGCACCAGCAACCATGCTACAGATTCCGACAGGCGATAACCTAAAACAGCGGATAAAACTTTTAACTGTTGGTTAAAAATTGATCTACTAGATGCGTTAACAATAAATACATAGAACCTTGTGAACTAAAATAAAAAGAATGATAGCATAATGCTATAACCAACAACTACAAACAATAACGACCTTATGTAACGACCTTATGTAACGACATTTGAGAAATTAACCTTCCATTCCTCTTCCTTGTAAACGAGACAAGTCTACTGAAAAGCAGAGAGCCTTATACGCTACAAGTCCCGGGCTTGTGACCGGTATAGCAGAGTTAAAAGGTGAAAGGTTTATCATAGATTAAACCAGGGGTCTCCAAACTACGGCCCGCGGGCCAGATGCGGCCCGTTGGGCCTCTCAATCCGGCCCGCAGAGACACTTAAGAAAAAATAATATTACTAAACAAAATAAATTTTGTGCAGAAAGTTCGCGTTATGACGCAAGCCAACTAGCGAGAGTTGCTTACGTCTATTTTTGTCTCAAATTCCTACTTCCGTTTCAAGCACATTGCGAAATTTAAAAAGCTGAAGGATAATGTGGAAATTTTTTATATTTCAATGCTTCATAATGGCCGATGAAAGAAAAAGAAAAGTAGATGATGAATGTCGACGATTTCAAGAAGAGTGGAGTGTAAAATACTTTTTCACCACTCTTTGACCAGCGGTATGCGGTTCGTCGGCCCTCAACATGCTGGATGAAAGTTCATGCGGCCCTCTGGCTGTAAAGTTTGGAGACCCCTGGATTAAACAACTGAATATTCCTGCTCATTTTTGTTTGGAAGCATGCTAAACAGTTCATATGGACAAAGCTCGAATTCCATATTAAATATCAGTAACATAATGCGGTGTTAATGTTAGACAATACATCATTGCCCTTCAGTGAAAGCATCCCGCTATTCATTGGAAAAGAATGAATCTAATATCGATGTTAAACATGGATTGTTACAAGCATGTTACAAACTTGTTACTCTGCTATACCTGTCACAAGCCCGGGACTTGTAGCGTATAAAGCTTTCTGCTTTTGAATAGACTTGTCTCGTTTACAAGGAAGAGGAGTGGAAGGTTAATTTCTCAAATGTCGACAGATAAGGTGGTTATTGTTCGTAGTTGTTGGTTAAAGCATTATGCTATCATTCTTGTTGTTTAATAACATTCCAACTATTTAACCTTGTGAACTAAAATACATGGAACGCTACCTGTAATAGAAAACCCTAGTAATTTTTCGAAGACACGTTTTTTAGATTTTACACGCAGACACGCGACATTACTTTCAGACACGCATGTGTAGTTCAATCAATTTTCACTCAGCGAGAGAATCTCGAAACACTACACACGCATGTCTGGGTGTAAGATTTGGCTTCAAGTATTTGCTTCGGGTAGCGTTCCATGTATTTTAGTTCAATGCATATAACTTACCATATCACCATGGTAACCAAATTCATGATGACGTCAAAGAGAATTTTGAAGAAATCAATCATAAGCTTGCCGTTTTCACCCAAGCCGCCTAAGATGTAACCAAAAAGAACGGAAAACACCACTAAACCCAACATATTTGTTCCAGACGTCTTTTCGATGCCATCGAACTCGTATTTAACGTTGATTTTGATTTCGATGGCATTCTTTCCTTCCGTCAACCAAGGACTGACTACTTTTGAAGAAAAAAGATTAAACATCTCTTCAGCTGATGAATTTGAACCAACGGAAGTTTCGTTAAAACAGCAGGGAGACTTCACAGTTTTATACTTCGTCTTCACCTGCAAAGATGTTAAAAAGAGTAAATTCGAAAAGAATTTTTGTTATTTTTACAACAAGGTTATTGACGCCCGGAATCACGGATGAGATGAAAAAGATTTGGAGCAGTTTAAAAGCTTTAAAACGGGTTAAGTACAAATTTACTAAATATTACTACAATTTACTTCATAACAACGGCAAAGATTTCACGTTTTTGGGTATTTGGAAAAACACAAAACGTTGTTTCTGCAGACACATTTTAGGGGCTGGTTACGTGAGCCCGGGTAGCCGGGATTCAGTCAAGCGATAAATGATTTTGGCAAATGGAAACGATTCAATACTTATCATCAGATAAATTTTCTCAAGCAATTTTACATAATTCTGATTTAATAACAACGAAAACATTTAAAATTAAAACAACCAATTTGTCATAATTTGAGAATTACAACCGGAATGACGTGTGGCGCTTCGCAAACAGTTGTAATTTTTAACCTTGAAGTTTTGTCTCCATTCAATGAAAACAAAGATGGACTGAACTAAAAGTTGCGTGTTATTGCCAAGTCAAACGAGAGAAATGCAATCCATAGTAGGTCTTTTTGATCAAGACATTAGAACCGACTTCACGTTCGGAATAAAAGTTGTAAGATAATCTCCAATCCAAAGCTTTTTGATATTGACAAGAATTATAGATGAACCCACTTTGTAAAAAAGGCAATTGAAAACAGATAAATTTTAGTGTCTTCATCAGGAGTGATCTGATCTTGAAACTTAAGTTCTTATATACTCCAGTCTAGTGTCTTCATCAGGAGTGATCTGATGTTGAAACTTAACTTCTTATATACTCCAGTCTAGTGTCTTCATCAGAAGGGATCTGATGTTAAAACTTGAGTTCTTATATACTCCAGTCTAGTGTCTTCATCAGGAGTGATCTGATGTTAAAACTTGAGTCCTTATATACTCCGGTCTAGTGTCTTCATCAGGAGTGATCTGATGTTAAAACTTGAGTTCTTATATACTCCAGTCTAGTGTCTTCATCAGGAGTGATCTGATGTTGAAACTTGAGTTCTTATATACTCCAGTCTAGTGTCTTCATCAGGAGTGATCTGATGTTGAAACTTGAGTTCTTATATACTCCAGTCTAGTGTCTTCATCAGAAGGGATCTGATGTTAAAACTTGAGTTCTTATATACTCCAGTCTAGTGTCTTCATCAGGAGTGATCTGATGTTAAAACTTGAGTCCTTATATACTCCAGTCTAGTGTCTTCATCAGGAGTGATCTGATGTTAAAACTTGAGTTCTTATATACTCCAGTCTAGTGTCTTCATCAGGAGTGATCTGATGTTAAAACTTGAGTCCTTATATACTCCAGTCTAGTGTCTTCATCAGGAGTGATCTGATGTTAAAACTTGAGTTCTTATATACTCCAGTCTAGTGTCTTCATCAGGAGTGATCTGATGTTGAAACTTGAGTTCTTATATACTCCAGTCTAGTGTCTTCATCAGGAGTGATCTGATGTTGAAACTTGAGTTCTTATATACTCCAGTCTAGTGTCTTCATCAGAAGTGATCTGATGTTAAAACTTGAGTTCTTATATACTCCAGTCTAGTGTCTTCATCAGGAGTGATCTGATGTTAAAACTTGAGTCCTTATATACTCCAGTCTAGTGTCTTCATCAGGAGTGATCTGATGTTAAAACTTGAGTTCTTATATACTCCAGTCTAGTGTCTTCATCAGGAGTGATCTGATGTTGAAACTTGAGTTCTTATATACTCCAGTCTAGTGTCTTCATCAGAAGTGATCTGATGTTAAAACATGGGTCTTTATACAACATTCATGAGAGAATATGCAACATAATTACAAAATGAAGGCTACCGAAACCAAACAACACACAGTTATACATAATGTAACAATTGTCTTACCGATGAAAAAGCCGCTTGGATTAAATTATCAGGAAACATGTTTCTACAAGAAAAATGATCATTAAGCAAATTTTAATGTGATATTTTACACAAAGAGATATGATGGTACACAATTGGATATTAAAGACACACAGAGATATGATGGTACATTGTTGGACATTAAAGACACACAGAGATATGATGGTACATTGTTGGTTATTAAAGACACAGAGAGATATGATGGTACACTGTTGGATATTAAAGAAACACAGAGATATGATGGTACATTGTTGGAAATCAAAGGATTGAAACAATATACAGACCAGGCTGTCCAAAACTGCACTATAAAAACTAGGATAACTGCTACATTACAACAAAGATAGTATTGCTATAACCAAATTTGGTTTCACACAAGAGATTTTATATTTTATAGTAAGATGAGCTTACCAGAGCATTGAAGAAATTCTACAAATACTTTCAAGTCAGTGATGTAGACATGTTGTCACAGATTAATATGGAGTGCACAGCCATGCTTACTTAAGTATGTTTCTTTTGAAAATTACCTCACAATCGTTTAAAATGAACAAAAAATTTCAGCATTAAAGTACAAAACAACTTTAAAGTTTCCATAATTTTGTAGAAGCACTATTGCTAATGCGCATTTAATATATATACAAGTTTTTTTAAAATAGACATGTTTCGACATCTCATGATGCCATCTTCAGTATAAGTGAAATAATAAACAATACAAGGTTTATATAAAAGTAATATGATACATAAATTACAACAATAATAAGGAAATAAGATAAATTAATGAGGAGCGTCCGAGCGTATTATAAACTAAATATTGTATTGAATTTAAAAACTTGAACATTGAGGTCAGAGTTAGTTTCGTTAATGTGGAGTGCTTCTTTGATTTTAAGGGTGAATGAGGTTTCGGCAGTGTCGATGATTTTGAAGCAAGAGGGTGAATAGTTGGTTTTGCATGAGTGAGATTTAAGAAGGTGTCGGTAGATATGAGAGTTTTTGTCTGTTGTGGTATGTTCCCTGATTCTGGTGGATAAATGGCTCGAAGTTTCGCCAATGTATCGGGAATTACATCCCGCGCAATTGAATTCATATACCACCATTTATTTTATATAAACCTTGTATTTTTTATTATTTCACTCATACTGAAGATGGCATCATGAGATGTCGAAACATGTCTATTTATTTTAAAATAACTCGTCGTGTATATTAAATTAACTTTGAACTCTTTTAAGAGAAGTACGTCCAATTTTAACACTGAAATCTCTTCTGACAACGAAAAACGCGGTTTTCTGAATTGGCTTGCAGAGTTACAGTTTACAAGTTGAAAGTTTTGACAAAACTGTCAAAAGCATAATCAAATATAATGATTGTGGTTTGCATTGCAATCCAAACGTTAATTTTACAAACAATATCTCCTTAGCAGACAAAACAACGTTGACAATTAAACAAACATTTAAACATATTTATCAACACTTGACACAAACCTTATTAGGTCAAGCACAGAATGTATCGGTTCAACATTTTTTTCGTTCGGTTCATTTTTTTTCACGTTGACATTTCCAGGTTTGATACAAATAACTAAAATACTCCCCAAAATGGCAGCCAACATTGTAGTCATAAGATAATACAGCAATGTTCTTCTTCCTAATTTTCCGCTCTGTTTTGACTCCAATTCAGCGACTGCCAAAAGCAAGCTGGATACAATCAAAGGAAGAACCAAAAGTCTTAATGCTCTCACCCAAATCTCACCAAGAAACGACACGTACATTGCATATTCCTTCGGTGTTGGATCTATGGACGACTGAACATTGCCATGTAATAAAGAACCGAGTAAAAATCCACAAAGTACGCCGAATAAAATGAAAAATAATATCATATGTTGTTTTGCATTTTTTAATCCATTGTAGCAACGCTTTCGTGAAGTCATTGTTGAAAATTTGAAGCTTTGAATACAATTCAAAGCAAATTCTCTCAACTCACAACTTCACAATTCAAAATAACAAAGACTATAAACATACCGCGCCATTGACTGTATATAATTATATAATAATCAGAAGAACTTGAGCAATTTCATTGGTCGAGAGCTTTGATCTATAAAGCCTGGTTCCACTATAGGCTTAACGCGAAAACGCGACAGCGATTAACTTTAAACGCGATAATCCCATATGGGAACGTGGTAATAATCGCAATAAACGGAGACTAACAACCGCGATATAATTTTTGATATTTATTCGCGTTAATCGCCAAAATGACGTCATCTTGAATGAAAATTTTGTAGTATAAAATGGCGGATTCAACATGTGTTCAATCACTTAACCCAGAAAGTTGGCCGAGAAAGTGCGTAAGATTCCTTGCTTATATGATAAAACATATAAGGATTATAAAGACAAGTTTGGCGTGGCAAATGCTTGGGCAAAAGTGGCAGAAAATCTGAATCTATTGGAACGTAAAACAATTTTCATTTGACTCTGAAGATGACTACCGCTAAGGTTATCGAAACGTCAGTCAACAACAAGAAAAACAGTCCTTCTCAGGACTATACCAACCTGGACGATCTACATTTACAAACATGTAACGATACTCCTCCCGGGTTCAAATCATTTACTTTAATAATTGGTGAGCGAGCGAAAAAATTGTTTGAAAATTTAAAAAAAGATTCAGCAAGCGAAGAAATGACTTTAAAAAAGTAAATAAATCTGGAACATCTCCGTCAGCTGTTGTTTCCTCTAAAACAAAATTGAAGGACTATAATTTTCTACAGTGGTTACTACCATACATAAAGTCTGGAGCAACAAAAACTAATTTCTCAGTATCAACTACCAGGAGCAGCTCGACAAGTAATTGTAGTTTGTTAACCGATGATGAAATTGAGCAAGTCAGCTTACTAAATGAAGACATTGACTGTCAACGAATAGAGCCAGATGAAGTATTTGATGATAAGATTACTGATATATCTGATACAACTGGACATAAAAAGTGGTCAAAGACAAAAGTTGATGTTGAGCAAGAAGAAATACGGTTTCTTTGTACAATGCAAAAAGCAATTAAGCATCAAAACAAAAAAAAACACGTGGAAAAAGATGAAAATGATTTATTTGGAATGCTTGTCGCCTCCCAGTTGAAAAAGTTAAATACACATGAACAGGCCATTGCTAAGCATCAGATTCAAAATGGTGTTTTCAATATACAAATGAATCAAAACCCAACAACGAATTGTTCTCTTCAGAATCAGGTTTTATAAAGACTGCACCCACCAATGATGGAGAACCACTCATTGTCTCAGCCATTTTGTGTTTCTTTACACAAACCTGCAGAATATCTTTCCTTTTGGTCACCTGCTGAACGACCATCACTAGTAATTGCACTTTTGATATAATCGCACTTCTTTAATTCTGAAAATAGTTTCCTGCTCATGGAACCTTTACAGTCTATTCTTCCAGCCCTAAAGTATTGTGTAACTGTAACAAAGTCTTGTCTATTGCTCTTTGTCTCAGCCATTTTGTGTTTCTTTACACAAACCTGCAGAATATCTTCCTTTTGGTCACCTGCTGAACGACCATCACTAGTTATTGGACTTTTGATATAATCGCACTTCTTTAATTCTGAAAATAGTTTCCTGCTCATGGAACCTTTACAGTCTATTCTTCCAGCCCTAAAGTATTGTGTAACTGTAACAAAGTCTTGTCTATTGCTCTTTGTCTCAGCCATTTTGTGTTTCTTTACACAAACCTGCAGAATATCTTCCTTTTGGTCATCTGCTGAACGACCATCACTAGTTATTGGACTTTTGATATAATCGCACCTTTCTAATTCCGAAAGTAGTTTCCTGCTCATGAAACCTTTACGGTCTTTCATTCCAGCCTTAAAGTATTAACTGTAACAAACTCTTGTCTATTGCGCTCTTCACATAAATACAATTCTTGGAAACCATTCAAATTATTTGGGCGTAAACAAAAAATGAGAAGGGCTGCTTCTGTTATATTAGAATATTGTGTTAACGAGTATTCATAATCACTTGCCATGTAGAAACCATCTCTATGCGACAAGTCGAGCCTTTCACGACCTTCACTTAATTCAATACCATTCTCAAGTATATTCTGAAAAGACGAATGATCAGTGCCATGGAAATATAACTCAGTATTCCCGTCTTCGTTTTTCTTCAAACTTTCAACCTCGATGATACATCTAATTGCTTCACCTTTGTTGCTTGCATTAAAAATGTTTAATTCTTGATTAGTTTGGTCCCTTGCATCATTACGACGTGAAAAATTCTGCGTAAACCAAAGGTTTTGGCAGTTTTCATTGTACGGAAAAAGAGGAAAGGCGTTATTCGTAAATATAGTACATTTAAAAAATTACTTAATGTAGGTTCCAAGTAAAACTGTCATTGATTGATCATCAAGATGAGACAGAATAACCGAGAGTGTATTTTCTCCTTCACTTTTCATGATCTCTTTTTCAACCAACTCATTCGACATGTAAAGCAAGCTCACAATATCGTACATATCAGTTCTAGCGAAAGGACTCCGCTCAGGTCTATTTTGGAGCATAGAAATGATCGTTTGGTTGTATTGTGGTACAGCATTATACTTTTGTGGATAAATGGTGTAGACGTCTCTCATTATTGATTTTGACAAACACGGAGGCATTCATTGGTTGTATTGTGGTACAGCATTATTCTTTTGTGGATAAATGGAGTAGACGTCTCTCATTATTGATTTTGACAAACACGGAGGCATTCATTGGTTGTATTGTGGTACAACATTATTCTTTTGTGGATAAATGGTGTAGACGTCTCTCATTATTGATTTTGACAAACAAGGAGGCATTCATTGGTTGTATTGTGGTACAGCATTATACTTTTGTGGATAAATGGTGTAGACGTCTCTCATTGATTTTGATAAACACGGAGGCATTCATTGGTTGTATTGTGGTACAGCATTATACTTTTGTGGATAAATGGTGTAGACGTCTCTCATTATTGATTTTGACAAACACGGAGGCATTCATTGGTTGTATTGTGGTACAGCATTATTCTTTTGTGGATAAATGGAGTAGACGTCTCTCATTATTGATTTTGACAAACACGGAGGCATTCATTGGTTGTATTGTGGTACAACATTATTCTTTTGTGGATAAATGGTGTAGACGTCTCTCATTATTGATTTTGACAAACAAGGAGGCATTCATTGGTTGTATTGTGGTACAGCATTATACTTTTGTGGATAAATGGTGTAGACGTCTCATTGATTTTGATAAACACGGAGGCATTCATTGGTTGTATTGTGGTACAACATTATTCTTTTGTGGATAAATGGTGTAGACGTCTCTCATTGATTTTGATAAACACGGAGGCATTCATTGGTTGTATTGTGGTACAACATTATTCTTTGTGGATAAATGGTGTAGACGTCTCTCATTATTGATTTTGATAAACACGGAGGCATTCATTGGTTGTATTGTGGTACAACATTATTCTTTTGTGGATGTATGCAGTAGACGTCTCTCATTATTGATTTTGATAAACACGGAGGCATTCATTGGTTGTATTGTGGTACAGCATTATTCTTTTGTGGATAAATGGTGTAGACGTCTCTCATTATTGATTTTGACAAACACGGAGGCATTCATTGGTTGTATTGTGGTACAGCATTATTCTTTTGTGGATAAATGCAGTAGACGTCTCTCATTATTGATTTTGACAAACAAGGAGGCATTCTAAAGAACATCATAGATACTTATGAAAGGATGCTTTCTAACTTATGTTTATAAGATCATATCTTTATTTTATCATAGATACTCTTACAAAAATAACATAGAAAAAATGAATAACATTAATTAGAAACCTTTCAAATATTTAAAGCGAGAACGTCGATACGTTCACATTCACAATGGCTACACAAGTAAACGTTTATTTATTTGCATTAAAATTCCTTCAAAGCTGATGAAGAAATCGCAATACGAAGGTTTCACGACATTGAATCTAGCGGAAAAGTATATCTTTTTAGTGTTGTGCATATTTTAGTACAAACATGAAACTTCCGTTGTGGGAAACGTTATTTTGCGTAACTTTGCCTCATGTAATTGAAATTTTTGTTGGATAGTTTTTCATCCAACGAATAAGTAAATTTGATCGTGACTTACGATAAACATTTCAACTATTGCAAAAACTTCAACGAAATATCAAACGGAAAAGTTAAATCAAATGTAACATGCTCCAATGCACTACAGCTAAGAGGAAGTGATGAGCACTTGTGCTATGTGGCTACATCATTTATAATCAAATACCAAAGAATGAATTAATTATTTTCAAAAAATTCAGAATGTATTAAAAAACAAGCTACAAGTAATTTTTGATCCATAATAATGACTTTGAAAGTTTCAACACGATAATTTTACACCAAATTATTTTCACTCAGGGGAACTTTATATGCCTTTGTGCGCAATAGATTTGTTGCAATGAAGGCAAAAGAGCCAATACATACTTCAAAACTTATCACACGATTCTCACTTAAGCGTGACTTAAATATTATAAAACATGTTTCGATGTTTAAAGTGTTCAGGAAATTGACGCCTCCTGGTTATAACTGGTTGAATTATTTTCAAGTTCATAATAAGTACATAGATGTTAGGTCGTCTACGTTTTGATACCAGGATACGGCGCATAAAACCGGTCAAAAGAATAGATATTTGAAGCTATTGACGACAGCCCAGTACAATTTTCTTTTTATGATGAAAACTGTCACAATTATACCCAAATGCGTTGAACATAGTTGCAATTACAAATACATTTTTCATTGGTTTCGCTTTCATTATGGAAACGACGACGAATATTGTTGTCTGAATTCATCAAAATTTACAAAACTCCATTCTAACGTTAACTAAGAATGTTTACTTACTTTTACAGAAGGATAACAGCTGGTATTTGGCAATTTTTATAAAACTGTGAACTGAGGAGCTTCAATGGACGGCGTACTATCCAGAAAGAAATGACTAGAATGGCGTCTCTGTGTCGGTAT